CAGACTAGATCTAATTTGGTAACAAAACTCGGATGACATGTTTATTGTTAATCCTTGCGAACGGAGGCCTAGCTGCTTGGGATTTGAAGGACAGAACGTGCCACTCTCCTAAATAGGGTTTAATTTTCTCTTAAAGAATGGCCTGGGATGAAAGCCTTATTACTTTTAGCACATAAAACCAAGCCTCAAACTATTTACGTACAATAACGCCATCCTATGCTGTACTTACCCTAGACTACCCACAGCACTTAGTATTTTATTTTTTTTTTTAAACTGCCATCCTTGGGTGAAAAAGAAATTAAGCCTGCAAAAACCTTTTCCAACGCCAGCTTCCTTTCAACAGTGGCCTCAGAAGTACCAAGCGCTAGGCCTCAGCCATGCCAGACAGACAACTCCCGTTCAATCGCTACGTCAGCTTGGTCATGCTCGTTAAGTGTGGTCCAGGGCCATGTTTACTGAGCTCGGCCTCCTGAGAACGCGAGTCCCCCGCACGGCAGCAGCTTTCAATCTCATTTCCTCTCACGATAAGCCCGGGAGTGCAGCCGGGGGAGACCTTTCACCAACTGCCATCTTTCTAAGAAGTCCAGGAGGAGCAATGCAATGACAGCCAGAAGGGCAGCAGCGTGTCCAGCCACCCTTGCCAGGGCCACTGGGACTTTCAGGGTTTGCGGGAGGGGGAGGGGGGCAGGAGAACAGGGGTGGCAAAACAAAATAAATATATATAGATATATATATATAAAGAGAAGGAGCAGAAAAGGGAGGCCTGATTGCAAGCAAGCACTTGTGAAGAATAGAAAGCATAATATACAATATATAGCCCCCCACTCCTTGCTACCAAAGTTCCCAGTCCCTCCAACACCCCCCCACCCTCGAAACACAAAAAAAATGGGGAAATCTCCCCCCAACACCACAACGGGGTCGCGCCGTGTCCCCCCCCAGTCCCCCAACCCCCCCCCATCTCCTCACACGGCGCTGAGGGCCCCTTCCACAGCCCCCCCCCCCCCCCCCAAACCCCAGCCCGGCCTTCCCCGTCCCCCCCCCCCCTTACCCGCCGCGATCTCGGTCGCGCCCCCGGTCCCCGAAGCCCCTCATCGCCCCCGGGGGGGTGGGCGAGAGGCAGCGGAAGGCCGGCCGTGGCGACGGCGAGGGGCTGGGGGTGCGGGGAGACGGGCCAGCCAGGGGCGGCTGCGTCTCGGAGGAATCGCTCTGCGCCACCTCGCCTCTCGGGTGGGACACGAAAGGAGAAGAATTCGTCAGGGGGTCCGCGACCCGCTGGACGTCGGCGGAGGGGACGGCGGGGCTCTCGGTCGGCTCCAGGGCCCGTGGCGTGTGGAGACGCTCGCGTCTTCTTCCTCCGGGCTCCCGGCACAAAATGGCCGCCGCCGCCCCAACCCGCTCGCCTTACGTTACGGGCGGCCCGGCGCTGCGCAAACTGCGGCCCTCGCAAAATGCCTACGCTTATTCCCGGAAGCCAACTACGCCCCGAAGCGGCTCGGCGCCGCGCTTCTCCGGGCGGCGCGGCGGGTACGAAAACCGCGTAGCGCCCTTCGGCTCCGACAGCCCCGGCGCGCGGAGGGGAGGGAGGGAGAGCAGCGCTCTTCCTATTCCTCAAAGTCAGGTACGCAAGGAGTCAATGGCGTAACCCCTTCCAGCGGGTAGCGAGAAGCGGGGCCGAGGCGCACGTTACGTAAGTGCGCGGCGTACGCAGGTTGCGTAACTCCGGCTGACGTAGAGGAGGAAGAGCGCGGCCGTTTGGCGTAAAATTCTTCCGCGGGCTGCGGGCGGAGGGTTGGCGGCGGGTCGCGGCGTTACGCCAATCGCGCGGCGTAGCGGCGCTTGGAGAATACGGCCCGGCGGCCGTTGGCCCCGCGGAGGCGGGCTGAGGGGCTGAGGCGACGGTGATGGCGGCGGGGGACCCGGCCCGGCCCCGGGGGCTTTTTCGGGGTCCCGCAGGTCCCCTCGGGCCGGGTTTCGCCCGCAGGGCACCGTGCACAGCGCCGGGAGCGGCAGCAGCCATGATGTGGGCTTTCTGCCCTTATAAATGGCCTGCTGGGCCCGGGGATCGCGGCTTGGCCACGGTCTGTGGGGGCTGGAAGCACTGGGTTGTGTGTAACACTTGGGATAGTTTTAACATTTTTAACACAGGCGGTGTCAGGAGGCCTGTATTTGCCTTTTAGCCCTGATTGGCTAAGCATAGGTAATTTTTTTGGAGATAAATAGTTACTCAGAGGCAACTACTTGGTATCAATTTAGCTTACTTGCTACTTGAACGCATACAAATACACATTATAGCAGCAAACCTGGTCCCGATTTTACTGCCCTTCCAATGTCACCTTCATAAACTTCATAAATTCTCCGTGCTGTTCTGTAGAAGAACCTCCTCCTGCAACGTGCGGGGCCTGTGTGCTGCGGGGAAGGACTCGGCGCGGGGCGTACTGCCCATGGTTACGGCCTGTCAGTGTCTGACGCCAAAAATGGAGCAGAAAATCCTAACGAAACAATAAAAATTAACTCTGTATTGTATGATACACATCGTATGTGATAGAATTGTGTATGATACACATCGTGTGTGATAGAATTGTGTATTGAATTGTGCAAGAAGTAAAGCTTATAGGTGGTGAGAGTGAAATATCCATATATATACATATATATATAATTATATATATATAATAACATAATAAAATGTGAAACGTGCTGTGCTTGTACTTCTAGCACCTATCAGGCCGTCCTGGCAGCAGAATTTTTGGCTGGTGGTGATCTGTGTGCACAAGCCAAAGTAAGGCCTTGCCTGAACGAAGGCCACGCAGTCAGCAGTGCTTTCCAGGCTATCAGGTTGTCAAAAATCAGCTGCGCTGGCAGAAGAGAAAGTGAGTCCCCTTTACTTTTGAACCCTTGAAGTTAACAAATAACTCAGCCTGGAGCCAGGCATAAAAACAAGATGTGTTAAGAAACCGCTACGAGAAGGTTTGTCGAACCTTCGGGTTTGTCACAGCGTAAACTCGCTGAAGTTAAACTTTGGCTTTTCTTTGATGATTTTCTGGCCACTGCTGTGTTTGTACTTCATATTACCTTATAGGCATTAGTTAATCTAAATAAAAATGTATCAGTGAAGACAAGATTTTTAACCAGACACTTTTTTCCCCCCCTCCTGTGCTCTTACGCAGGAGGGGGGGAAAAAAGGCCTTCCCTTAAAGCACCTCGTGGATAAATGGTTGACTGAGTGGCCTGTGAGCATGCTCTCTTAGCAAGCTGCCTCATAAACACGTTTCCCTCAGTGAAAGTATGAGTGTCAGCCTCTCCCCTACGTAGTCCCTGCTTCTGTTTTCTTTTACTTTTTAATAAAAAATAAAAATAATGGCAATATCTTTTTTAAAACTTTGGTTTTAGTATTCTTATTGATACTAGAAGGAATGTTTCTTTCCTTAGAGAACCAGACAAAAGGTTTTAAAATGATGGGTGGATCTGTTCTATTTCTCTCATGAAAGATCAGTGAGATTGTTGAGAGCAAGATTTGCTTGAAAGAAACCAACTGAAGCAGAGTGCTATTCTAATTCATGTTTTTTATTTTCACTTTTAATAAAAACTATCTTACAACGTTCTCTCAAAAAAGTAAAAGTGCTTAAAAATTAAAAATATATATATTTAGTAAACATAAAAATACCTAAGTATATTTCAAGCAACTGCTTTTCCTCTACTGTACATGAGATTCCATCAAGTTCTTGGGCTTCTGCTCCAGCCACTGCCTTTTCCATATATTTATCTTCTATGTACTTGTCAATTTTTAAACTAATTCTAATTCAGTTTGATTTTACACTACCTCAGAGATGTCTTTAAAGGAACTAAAATATTAAACATGAAAAGACGGCTTTGATTTTCACAATAAAACAGGAAAAGGATTCTTTGAACAATTTACGAGCTTGGTTTTTATATCTTTGTCTGCTGGAAGTTCATTTGAAAAGCGAAGACCCTAAATGAACCAAATTCTATTAAGATCAATAAAACTGAACCACGCAGAGTTTATCCCACCGTCCTCCCAAAAGCTCTCAAATGGTTCCAAAACCAGGGAGTCAGTGACTTTGCACAGATCTTCATCCCAGCTACCTAGGAGGTTTTCAGCTGTACATTTCCATCCGTTTCCTGCCTATTCTTTGGCATCTCCAATCCCTCCAGCAGTTATTGCGAACGTGGCTTCGTTTTCAGGCATCTCAGGACTGGGGGTGGAAAAAAAGAAACTTCTGGTTTTCCCCCACATTATATGTGGTTGTGGAACAGTCCCCAAAATTTAAGTATAAGCAACATGGAATACTTGAACACGGAATACTTCAACTTCTTTTTGCCTGTGGGCAAACTGTAGAAAGTGATCGATATTATCAAAAATGTGCAGCCCACCTCTGAAGATGACACACAAGGGAGGGGAATGGAGAAAGTGCATGAGAAGAAAGGATTCTGTTTAGGGAAACTTTAACTTCCACGTCTTAGCTCCTGAGCAGGCACACTGGTGTCTCCGTGCAATTTCACTAATACCATTTTTAATGACTTGCATCTGCCACAGCTTAGCAGGTAAACTGCTCTGGAATTTTCCTGCTAAGGGCCCACCTGCCTTAGCAGACCATTTGATAGGCTCTAAGAGATGAGCACCTAGGAGGATTTCTGATGAAAGATCACATAATTTCATACACATGATATGCAATGATGACTTGAAATCTGCTAATTAGTTTGTCCTGTCAGATTTTCTCTCAACGTACCATCCAGAAACGTGGTTAATTTGAGACCATGAATCGTTTCACAGGCTCTTAAGTTTCAGCACCACGAACTTTGTCACCTTACCCCTGCCCGTAACGTGGCTTCCTTCCTGTGAAGGGACGGTGATTTACCTGTCATATATCTTGGCGATGCGCAGCTCCCCTCGCCCTTTCCTCAGACTAATTCGGGTAGTCGAAGCATGAGCCAGGATGTGGCCCCCAATGGGCTTCTTTGGGTCTGCCTGAAAGCTAAATTAGCAAGCAAATGTTGATGATTCACTGTGCAAATTCCATAGGCTAATGGTGTGATTAACTGGCAGACAAGGCGACTGAACTCAGTAATGAATAATAAATAAGCAAATAAATCAAAAGAGGACTCAAACACGCTTGCCTCAAGATAGGATGCTCAAATGCCCGGTGCAATGTTCAGTGGCATAATTGTTCTCTCATCAGATGGAAGAGGCTCAAGAAATGCATGCCTTAAACTACATGAATATACTTCTCCCCAAGAAAGTAATGTGTTTTGTTTTCAATAGTTTCTGTAGTTTGTTCTCTTTATTCGAGTCACAGTGAAAGAGGCCATCATTCCAGGAATAAGCATTTACAAAAAATTACGAAAACTGAGAGAAACCTATAGGTGTCATCCTTAAATGATTCATCACACCAGAAGGGCCAATGGTCAGCCTGAAACATTTAAAGAAATGAGGAGCATACCTTCATATCAACGCCTCTGGCTCCACACAATCTCAGTTCTCATCTCTGTTAAGTATGTAACACAGATGAGAAGAATTTAACCCAAAAAAAAGGAGAAAAAGTATCTTACGTCATGGTTGCTCCTGGATCAGCGGTCATCTGATTGGTCACAAACACAGCCACGTTATATTCTGCGATAGGAAATAACGCCAAAAAGGCGGGCTAGATCAAATTAGAACTCCAAAATATTCTCACCCCCCTGGTAAGAGCAAGGCTGCTAATAAACCACACTTCAGATCACAAAGAAAGAGAAGCAAATCTTCCTTATGTCTGCTGGCTGGAGTTGGGCAGAAGACAGCCTAACTCTGCTGCTGTGTGACTTCAGCTGTAATATTTATGCAAAAAATGAGCACTTTTCAGAGTCCCACTGAACAAGTCTTTCCCAATTCATGTCTTCCCTGTTGGCTCCCTGCCCTAGGCCTCTTCTCTCTCCCTCTGTCTGTTCCCCCTTTTTTTGGTATTTACTGCATAAAAAAACATTTACTCATTCCTCAGCAACATTTCTGAGACATTCCAAAAAAGGAAGAATCCTGGTCATCTCATCATCATCTCTGAGAGCACTGCACAGTCAGCCTACTCTGCTCCCTGTGCCTTTATCTTATTTTTTTTTTTTCTGTGTTTCTTGTGTATTTAGACTGTAGAAACTGGGGAAAGGCTGAATATTTGTCGAGTTCCACAACCTGTCCTCTCATTTAGGACTTAACACTGTTTCTCAGAAAACTCTAAACGTTGAATTATTCCAAAGACCCCTTAATCTGTCACGTTTAAATAATTATTTTTAATTAATTTGATCTTTTTAGTTTATTTTTGGTACCTGACAGATAAGTAAAGTGAAGAAAGATTCCTGGGCCATAGTGTGATTGGGTAACACACTCAGACTACGAGGTGGTTGTGCCACCAACAACTACTGTTTCACTCCAGTCCATGTTTTCCACATTTTGCAATGTTTCCCTTACCTTCTGATATTTTTTGGAGCCTTGACAGCATCTGAGCGAGTTTCTGTTGTCGTTCAGCCAACTCTCCACGACCACTGAAATCCACACGGAAGAGTGCCATTATGGAGTCAATGATCTACATTGGAATTATGCTGGATAAGTAAATTCAGTGGGGAAAAAAAAAATATAGATTCTGAAAGCAGAAAGCATAGGAGAAAAAAAGTGTCTTGTACCAATAGCTTGAAGATACCAGCTTCCTCATGGAACTTGGCTGCAACATAGTCGAGCAATTCCATCTGATGTTCACCTGATGGGAAGTACGGTTGACAAACGAAATTAGGATCATAAAGAGCTCGGAAGCAACAAAAGCCTGAGTTTTAAAATTCCACTTCAAGTGTCTGCGCTGTTTATATTTTCACTGTCAGACATTTTAAGTCCACTGCCCATTAACAAGCTACCTCTACAATACCCAATAGTGCCTATCCTGAAGGCTTCAGTTACCACTTGCCCAGGCAACAAAGCTTCTTTGTGTAAAGCTGCAGATTAAAGCTGTGTGAAGAAAACTTTGGTATGCGTGTGTGTTGAGAGCTGAAAACCAATATAAACGTTTAAATTCAATGTTGAATTAAATGGCACAATAAATTGTATTGCCATGTTTTCATGTTCGTATTGCATTCTGAAAATAAAAGTCCCACTTAAGATTTCCTTCAAGTTTTAATGCAGTGTCTTCTGACAGAGTGCTTGAACTGACCCTATAAAGTTCTATTCACAAAATCATAGGGGATTTCTGTACAGCATTTATGTAATTAGCTCACATTCAGGCAATCACGGTTACATTAATTGGTGTTTCTGCTACTAAGATGGTACACTGACAATCGTCATACACATAGCGTTGTCGCAGCAAACTGCAAAAGTTTCTGGAGTGCAGTGGAGCTGGAATACTTCCACTGAGCCAGTCTGCTACAGTACACCCCCAGAAACAGGAGCAAGCTTGTAACTCCTTTTGTTGGCAACAAAACATTATTTATGATCCTCACTGGACAATCTTACCCAATAAACTGAGAACTAGTAAAATAGAAGCCTTAGGGAAAACACAAAAACAAAAACAAAACCACAGATATCATGGCAGTTGCAATGATGATCTTACTAGTATATGCACGTGCATACAGCACGTTGTCAAGTACTGCATCGTGGTCGACATTGAAGCGATCAGCGATGTCACGAAGACGGTCCGGCCGGCTGACGTTAGTCAAGGTTAAGGATTTCTCCGAGTACAAAGCCTGCTCTGAAAACACTAAGACTCCATTCCAAAATAAGTCCATGGAAAAAGAGAGCATTTATTCTGATCCTAAAGAAGACTGAGTTTTCACGCTGTCTCACATATGCTGAAGAAAGTTTTGGGCTTATGATGATAATTGGTTTGTGTTTAGGGTTTGTGGGGGGGGGTTGATACATAGATCAAACCTTCTATCACCTGTCATCTATCTGTCACCTCCTACCATGTACCATTACTAAGAAAGCATGCTAGATCTCAAAAAAGCAGTTAAAAATAAATCTGTATCCTAACTATTTTTTTCCAGCTTGGATTAGATCAAATGACAGAGAAACATCACTGCTTTGTGGGCCATTACACACTGTGCTCTGCAAGCTTTCTGTGTCCATCATAATGTTTTACACACAAGGAGCTATCTGGAGCCTCCTACTTGCTTAACCTCCTCACAAACCGAACTGTCTTTCCAGTTCATTGTACCTGTAGCTTTCAACAGCCCCAAAGATACAAAGTGTTTTCAGTATCAATGAAGATAATCTTTCCACCTGTGTAGCCACTTGGGCCTGGAAGCTGAGCTGTCACTAGAATGAAGCAGAATGTCAACATGAAAAAGTGGGAAAAATAGTTTCTTACACTATTATTATTTTTAATAAAATCTGATGAGTGTTCATCCATATCACAAAGAGCCACCAGTTTTAATCAATGTGGAAATCACTGGTATCTCAAGTCTTACTGCCAGCTTGAAAAGAAAGCCACACCACTTTCCTTTACTGGAGATCAGATTAGATTTAATTAATGGTGTCAAAATTGTGTTTAACTCAGCAACATCACTAAATCTGTACATTTTATATTGAAAATAGGTGAGGGGATTATTAATTAGTTTTTATGCACAAAACTCCCTCTTAATCCGCTGCCCAAATTAACGGTATTGATTTTGTAGTTTTTTTTTCCAGCTGTAATTCATATAATCAAAAATTCTTTGGGTATGTATCTTCCCTGAATAGTTACTGATTGTGGGTTTGGTTTCTCTGAAGCGAATAAACTGAAATACTCAATTCATTCAGTTGTAATCGTTCATGCAAAAGGATACAACTCTGCTGACTAATTTGGCCATTAGATTGTACTAAACGGAAGAGGCTCCAGTTTTCCAGAAGGTGCCACAATCCTTTTATAACAATGGGTTCATTTAAGTGAATGTTTGCCTGTCCAGTGCCTAGAAACTATAATCCAGCAGTGTTCATAGTTACAGCAGTTATTATTTACTACTATTTCTACACTGTGCGATAGCGCTGAGGAACCAAAGTCCTGCTATACCTGGCACTGCCAAAGCCTTTGTTTATCCAGTTAATGTGAGCAAGTAGTATCCGTTCAGTGCCCTTTCAGAATGTCATATTCAGCAAAACCTTCTGAAACCAGGAAATTAAAAACATTGCTGAGAAAGAATCTTGCCTTTGCCCTTTTCTGAGCAATGTCCCTGTCCCCCCGTAATCCATATTTTGCTTTGCTTTTCCAGAGCTCAGGGATTGTTTATGGTCTTTTCCCTCATTATGGCTAAAGTTAAAGTATTAAAAAGCAATTATCTACATGAATTCTGTACCCAAACATAATCAGTAAGAGGTGAGTCACCAAGATCTTTTTCACTGTATTTCTAGAGATAGAAAATTCTGACTTACCTTTATATGTTGAATTTTGATACTGTGGTAAAAAATGGGTTCAGTGGGAAAAAAAAAAAAAAAAAAAAAAAAAGCTCTCAGTTTTAAGGTAGCACACTTACCACAAAGGGTGTGAGATAGCTGGGTTTTGCCTGTCCGGAACTCTATTAAATGAAGAAAAAGAAAAAAAAAAGTCATTTTTTTTTTTCAGAGTTTGCCAGATTCAGGATTTACAGCAATTAGAAACATACACGTATAAAATTCACTTCTTTTTTACCCTTTGTATCTTTCAATCCAGATATATAAATCACATAATGTACAGTTGAAATGTTTTGCATGAAATGTAGAATCTAAAATGCTTTAATTTGATCTCACTTGACTGCTAATTTAATTTCTACTTTACTGTAGAAGTTAAGTATTGCAAGGCAACTATGGAGAAGTAATAACTGAGGGAAGACAAAAAAATAATGGTTGGGTCCACTGACCAGGCCCAATTTCACTTTCAGTAAAATTATCAAGAAGTTTATGAGCTTATTCATTTCACTACATCAATTCATACAAGTCTCCAATATATCTTTTCTAAAGGGAAGACCACAGCGTTCAGCAAACTCTTATTTTTGAAGTGTTATTCACTGACTGACCAAACTTACTGTAATAATAGCTTAATTGTGAACGCAAAATATTTTATGAAATTCAATACATCCTGAGTGTGCATAAATAGAGTATCTTCTGTGTCAGTTTCATTACTGAGAAGGTACAGAGATTGCATCAGGGCATTAATAATGGTATGTCATACTGAATCAGCATGCCCCCAAGTCTAATGATTACTCATCTCATACTTAGCCTGCAAGAAAATGAAGAGAAAAAATAGGAAAACACTAAAGGAAGTGGAATCTTTATTTTTCCACTCACGCAGGTACTCGTCTTATAATTACAATGTGATGTTTGGTAGAGGTAATGCAGCTTGATTTAAAATCTAAACTATTCTGCAGTTCTTTGTCTGTTCAGTAATACTCATTTAATGTGGTTTTCTCACCTCCAAAGGCCTCAGTGATTGCCATGCTTTCAATCCCACCACCCAGAAGTTTACTGAAGAGAGAGAATTATGAGATGGTTAAGCACACAAAATCACAAGAAGAAAATTAAAAAGAATTTTTTGCAGCTTTAAGAAAAGTTATTTCTATCCTAAAACCCCTCACATCATGCATTAAGTGCAGGGCTCTACATGGTCACTGATTCACAAAAAAAAAAAATAAACCTTCCTTAGTATGTGCAAGAGAAAAAAAGAATAGAAAGAAAAGAAATGGGAAGAAAGAAGAGAGAAAATATCCTTGAAAGACAAAATTCCATAAAAGTATCTCAAGGAAGGTCTTGAAGACTTACAACTTTGACATGAGACATGCAAGTTGTGTAACTAGGTGAAAAAGTGATGTTGCAGTCAGGATTTTTGGCTGCAAACTCTGTTTATTTACAATGACTGTACAAAGTCGGGCACCTTTGAGCCAGCAGAGGCTCTAAATGCAAGGTAATCTATATATCCTGAGTATTTGTTCTTCTATATTTTTCTGTCTCATTACAGACAATAAATATGATTACTGGAACAACTTGGCCTAAGGCAGGATTGAAGTAGAGGTAAGCTTACTCAAATTCCTGGCTGCCAGTAGAAATATGAAATACCATCTTCCGTTTTTCACTGTACTCAAATGCGGTCAGGAAGCCTGGCTCCTAAGGCAGACCAAAGAGTACATGAGACGTTTATTTTCTTTAGCCTTAACCTGTTGACAGAGTATGATATCCCACCTAGGCACCTTCTTCTCCACCCTAGCCTCAATTACACACATTGGGTATGAAAAGCACCACAGCATTTGTCTGCTTGTTATAAAGTATTATCCCTTTACAGTAATGAGCAGAATTATTTTCAAAATTATCTTGATGATGCAGTGAAAAATTCTGTAAAGAGAAACTCTGCATAGCATTTTGGAAAGGACAGCATAAATTTAAATGATCAGGAAAGTGAGTGGCTTACAATAAGCTTATTTGCGGCTTCTTTAATCTTGTCCACTTTGGCCTCTGAAAGCCCTTTTACATTGCACAGCGCCCGTCTTGTTGTCATCTGGATTCCTTTGATGGTGCAGATCCCAACTGACTTCAGTTTTTTAATATCTGCTACGTTCTGTAAAGAAAGTTCCTGTCTATGAGTACTTGTGACAGTTAACAACTAGAAGGCAAAGCAGACCTTTCAAATACTTTATTACATACTCAGCCATGTGTATTTTCATAAAGAAACAGATTTACAAGTAAACTCTTTCTTCTGCAGTTTTTCACACCCAAACAGCAGTAAATTTTGAGTAACGTTGGTGTGAGGGATCTTGGTGCAGAGACATCCTGGTGCTTTTGTGAGAAAGGCACGTTGGGTCCAGTTGTACTTACTTGTCCCCATTCTAGATTGAAGCTGGTAGTAAAGAACCAGTATGGATTATTTCAGATAGCGTGGAGCATAACCCAATAAACTCTCTCAAATTCAGTCTGTCCTTGGTCCCTCAGCACAGATAATCTGTAAACCAGGTAATCTGATCATGGATAATTGGGAGCTGACTTGCATGGGTGGTTCGAAGCGGACTATCTGCTGTGCTGTTTCTGCATGTTCACAGCAAGTCCAATGTAGAACACAAGGAACCTGCCAGATCCAACAGACACTTTGAGCTGGAGTGGACTTACTAGAGTTTTTCATTTATTGGCTACAGCACGACTTTAGTCAGCACTCTACTGACACATTTTGCCTCATCTCACCTCATTTTATGAGTCTGGCATCACTAGAAATTTAAAGGCATGCAACAGATTACTCATTAGAAAACATAACACATGAAAGATTTGGGATAATACTTCATCTTACCATCTCCAGCCAAGTTATTTCTTTAAAAAAAATATATAAAAAAAATAAATAAACAACCACACAATAAGAACTGGATGTATCCTCTGTTCATTTGAAGTGTGTGGGTGCATAAGACATAAGAAAGGAGGGGGGCTATGGAAGGAATTAGTCATGTTCTTTGGGAAGCTTGTTTCTTATCCTGTGATGTTTTTTGATAATTACATTAATAGTGATGGGCGAGGTAAAATCAATTACAAATAAAAACGACTCTTCCACCCAGAAGAATATAAAAATCAGCAACATAAAAAGCACTGAACTGTTGTTCACATAGTGTTTTTCTATTAAGACAACAAGCTACTCCTGCAAAGACCATTTTTCTAGACTGAAACTTTAATTGCATCACCCAGCTGCTACATTTCTTCAGTGGCTTTGTCTTTGTTATCACATCAAACGAAGACATTACAATTTCCTGAGTACTAGACCTGGTTGCAAAAGTTCTTGTTCTCTCTCTCACAGATGCACCTTTCACCAACAGTGTATTTACCAACCAAGGTGCTAGGATTTACACATCCTTAAACTACTGTTCAATACTACAAAGCATTCAGCAGTAGTCCTGGCTTAACATACTGACACACCTGCCCCCTTGTACCAGCTGCTTATCCTGATCCTCTCAACCCTATTACGGAGCATCTCTGTCCCAGTTATACGCCTCTGAGGTGGAAATGGGAACGGATCAGGAATGTTTAAAATACAAAACTAAAACACATTTTTTCTTCTGATGCATTTTGTATGCCTTGATTCACAAATCCAGTTCACAGGGTGGCTGCAACAACAGATGTACCCGAAGAAGCAATATTGTGCTCTAGGGATAGGAACGCTAGGCAGTGACTGCAGGCTCACAGCACCTATCAAATCATTTGAACATCAAACCACAGCCTCAGTTCTGCTTATCTGTTTGTGGCCACACTGTCAGATCTATTAAGTACTTCTCTCTCTACTCCTAGGAAAAAAAATCTAAACCCACAAAAAATAATTCTTTAAGCAAGTGAATTTAACAGCTATGGGGCATCATATGTTCACTGACACAGCTGACAATACCAGCTTCCCCTGGGGGGTAGGAATAACCACTTGGAAAGAAGGAGAAAAAAAAATGATCAGGAAACTCCTATTAAACCAGATGTGTCTCCAAAAATGCACAATGAAAAACAGCCTAAGTCATCATCCCTCTATTTTCAGGATCCTTCATACCTCAGTATCATTCTCTGCATGCTTTATTCAATATTGACAGGCTAATACAGCTCCCTTCCAGCTCATGAGGTCAACCTCTTTGGTCATCTTTTTAAATTTTTAACACAAGAATCTGTGTATTTTTCCTACTCTGTCCCATGCTGATTACAGCCCCCTATCTCATTATCCTTCTGCAGAACTCTCTTTAAAACTCCCTGTCAATGAACTGCCAATAAAAAAGTCAACAATTACACTGCTGACATGCTGAGCACAGTAACTACAGCGCTGACGAATGCTGTCTCATTGTGCCTGCCATCCCTTTCTGTATCCATCTACAGTCATTTATCTTAAAGCTTACACTATTTTGGGCAAACCCAACTTCTCGTTCTGCTTCTCTAACACTGAACATTGCGATCCATGAGTCAGTCTCCTGGACAAACACATAATAACAGTAATTCAAGTAAAAAGGTGATGTTTATGTGATAGTAATGATGATGATGAAAACACTTATAGGAATTCATATTTGATGAAGAAATCTATCCACTTACTTCTCTACTTATTTATCTTTTCTTCACTTCTACTCTACTCCCTTATACTGCATTCTGAAAATAGTTTAGCAACAATTGCCACTGAGTAATTTCAAGGGAACCAAAAACGCAGGTATAATTACAGAGATTGGCAGGAACAGGAAGTAATCTATCACTCAGTTTTCAAATAAATTAACATCTGCTTGGTTTTTCAAGAAGTACTGGGTGCTAAATATTTTGAATATTTTGCCACTTTATTTAGGGATCTGGTGGGAATGAGATTTTCTGAAAATCTGTCTTATCACCAAAGGCAAAATTTGTCTTCATGTGAATGATTTAATATTCATTGCAAGGAGGAATTTCACTTATTTGTATCAATGTGTAAACACTTCTGGAAATAACATTAAAATGGCTTTACGTGGACAATTCTGTGTGGTAAAGTCATTGATAATACTTACAATTCCATGCTTTTGTAGCAGGTCAATATCCTGAAAAAACGATTCCTAAAAAAAAAAAAATAGATTTTTTTTTCTCAAATTACATATATCTCACTGTATGTGTTTGTAATTTGTAAATCTTGAAATGATTTCCCCTAATAATACATATCTTGTTGAACTACCAAAATAAGATAACCCACAGTAAGCCAAGAGGGCCTACACATTTCCTACCACTTTCTTCTTAAAGTGTATCTTCACAGGCAAGCAATCCTCTGCTGTGCTAATAAAACTTGTATTAAGATCATTGTCTCAATTCTTTCATCCACAGTTCTTCAGCCTTTCCAGGCTGATGACCATTCCTTGGAAGCATAAAATTAATGGCTAATCTCCTCGCATTAAGTATTCAAGTGTAAGATATAGAGCAATAATGATAATCCCATTAAAAACTGTGCATAGCTTTTGAAAGGTTAACGAAGAGCATTTGAAGAGCAAGACTGTAAAAGGACTAGGAGAATGAGATTTTCCTGGTATTAGACTGTAACAAAATTTTAAATGCATTGAACTCCCTGATGGCCTTTGGGGACATCATGTCTCTCCACAGAATTCATTACACTACAACAATACCTTCAGATATTTGCTGCACCTGTTTTTCAGTGAACCGCAAATTTACCTCATCATCCTGGTATCCTGATTCTTCTTGGACTACTTGATCCTCCATAGGCCTTCATCATGAAAGAGCAGGCAATAAAGTATTGATCAGTACTGAGAAACACAAACAAAGACAGCATTGGAGGGGTATTAATTGTGTCAGTAACTGTGAAGGAACTTTTAAAATGTCCTCAAACTACACAGCCTTCCCAGTGCGTCATCATATATGGATTTAAACTTGGATTCTCTATCCCACTTTTTGTCCTACCAGACCAAAAGGAGAAAATCTATTGTGTTACTCTCTGATGAACCAATTTAGCTAGAAAGGGTTTAATTGGTATTAAGAATTCTCGTTCCCTTGTGAGAATCTTGGGTCCAAGTGTGATTTTGGAGGTGAGAATATTTTCATTGATTTATCATTAGCTGAATTTATTGCTGTAAGGAAGTTAAAGATTATATTTTTATATCAAAAGTCAGTCGAGTTGCAGATAGAACAGGTAATGGAAAAGTCTATGCAATATCTCAGCTTCCTCATCTTGTGTGACCCAAAGCTCACAAAAAGGTGCTATTGAGAAGACTACAACTTCTTAGTCATATATCTCGAGGGCACACTTCAGAGTCATATTTGTTCTCAAGTTCTTTGCTGCAATTCAGAATACCTAAAAAAGCTGAAGACATGCAGGTAATGCCTGTAAGAAGTATGCAAGCATGAAGAGAATAAAAGAAGGGTAGTAGAAATCTGAGGCTTTTATTATGCAAAAATTAAAGCTTATTTCATGGTTTCTCATGGTTAACTTGCCATGTCCACATTCTGCTATGGCTTCACTGCCCTTTTTGTGAGACTTCCATTAACAAGGCCTAGAACCAGAACAGGCACTTACCAAATAAAAAGCTCAACTAAAAAGCAGATTATTACCTCCTTAAGTTTCATAAAAGCAGGATAAATGAATAGTTCCTTACAAATATGGTCTTATAGCCCATTTTGTCAGTTTTGTGATTTTATAAATTGTTAGGTTGCTTCTGTCTTAATTGTGAGCTGCCTTCATTGCTGTAGCTACGGTTTATCAAAAGTTTTGTGAAGTGCCTCATCCAGAAGCATTTGCTTACCCATCCTTGTTAACAAAATCCATGAAAAGTATATGATGGGTTTATTATGAAAATACAAGATGGGATAATTTAGAATAAATATCTGCAAATAGCTTTTTTCATTTTTTAAACGGATACTTAAGGTCTGCTTAATTTTCTTACAAGAGGCTTGTGTATACAGAGGATGGGAAAAGCGAGAAAGAAAATATAATGCTAGGATGATATTATTTGGGTTTTGGAGTGAATATACGATGGAGTCACTTCTGTTAGTATTCAATAGAAGTACTCCTAGAATGTCAGTTATTTCTGATAGCATCAAGATGTATTTTGTTTTTATTTCAGAAGCCTGACAATTATGGAATGAGAAGTCATGCCTTCACATCATGCTTTATACCAGTCAGAAAAATAATTACAGTAAAATAAATAAAAAAGTACTTGAAGAGATTTTTAAAACCCCAAGCTTCAAAGGATGAAGGAAGAAAAACAAGTAATGCAAAAGGTATTAAAATCCCCTTCTCCATTAAAAATATCCTTCTGAAAATGCACATAATCCTGAACTACAAGCATGGTTTAATAAGTCACAGGTTCACTCTCCTACTCCCCGTCCTTAGGCAATTGGCACCTCAAAGCAGAAAAACTAGGCAGACCCAGACACGTGCCTTCCTGCGGGCTAGAAGGAAAAATCAAGAAATTATACCACACTCTCTGAAAGCTTTAGGAATGAACAAAACCCTATTTAGTGCTGAGTCCTCCTGTCCCTGGTGTGTTGGTACAGTGAAGGCCCAGAGGATTCCAGCTGCCACTGACTGCAGTGAACTAGAAAAAAGGCTGAAAGTCTGCGACAGTGCAGCAAATACATTATGAAGTAAGGATCTTTGGGAAAAAACATGGTTTTGTGGCACCTCAGGTGCCTCAGGTGCCACAAAACCTTGTAATTACTGCCCTTGGAGCTATTCATTAGGATGCATGGGCAAGACCGGCTTGCTGCACTAGTTTGAATAGATATAGATTGTCGGTGTGACAAGCTCTTGGCCTGAGCACATACAATTGGGTTTAATAAACGTGTTTTTTTTTTTTGGACAGGAACATTGCAGCTGATTTGACAGGAGCTGAGTTGGGGCCTCCATGTTACAGGCAGCAGGATGACCCGTTCCCTCCTCCCCCTGACCTCCTGAGGAGCGCCGTGCCGCAATTCCACATTTACAAATAAACGATTAATCACATATCCACACACACATTTATTTGGCTTCTCCTCGACGTCTGCCCTTTTCGAGGGATGCAAATTCACCTTCCCAGAAAGGGGCGAGGCTCTACAGAAATCCCCTCCCCTCTGGGAAAGCCGAAATCCCCCCCCCTCAAAATGATGACCACAGTCACTGAACCGCTGCTCAGGGCCGGGCAGCTCCCTGAGGGGCTGCGACACCCTTGGGTGCTGAGGGGACCCAGCCCCGGCCGCTGAGGGAGAGCCGCGGGCCCGCCGCTAATGGCGGGACCGCCCTGAGGGCGGCGCGCGGGCTCCTGACGGGAATGGGGCTGCTCCCCTCCTCCCCTCACTAAAATACAGTTCATTTGTGGCCTCAAGCGTGTTATCTTCTAAAATTTACCGATTGTTGCGTTTGTCAACGAGGGGAAATGTTGTTTTACCCTTATTTTATGGCTGGCTTCGCGACACAGAGCGGTGGTGGGTCTGAGGGTGGGCAGTCCGATGCAGCGCAGTGGGTGCCCTACATGCGTCCCGCTACACCAGGCGCTTTTGGGGTGGGTGGCCAAAGCCCGTCAGAGGGCATCCACTTCTGAAAGCTGGAAGAGAAGTGACTTGCCTGAAGCCACAAGATAAGAAAATGAGATTGAGTCATGCACATGGCGATCTGTCATTTTAAAGGATGGGAAAAGTGCATTTTAGGATATAAGCACTTCCAGCGGCTTGCAGTCCCATCTCCTTGGAGATCCTTTTTGGAAAGCGAATGGCCTGTTTTAGTTCAGCTGTGTGGAAATAAGCTGGCAGTGCAGCACCATGCTGAGGAGGAGCTGGTGGCATCACAGGGTCGGTGCCCTTAGTTTTGGTGGACTTTCAAGTGTTATGAGGGATGAGAACACTGCCTCTTCACACGTGTTTCAAAGCACTTTGAAAATTTCCATGCCTTCTGTCTGTGAGAGGTGAGGAATACATCCAGTGTCTCTAGTATTAGCCAAAGCAGGACATTGACCAAGCAAACAAAAACATCACAACCCCTTAGCACCATCAGCACACTGCAGAAGTGCCTGCATGGCCAGCGCTTGAAAAATCAAGCTATTTATGTAAGTACTTAGATTCTAATTCTGGGTGCCTAAGGCTCTGTCTGTAGAGAGGAACTGGCTGGCACAGCTTTTGAAAACTGCATTATTCTGCAAGAGCTATTCCAGAAGAGCACTTAGGGAGGCAGTCCTTTGGCCTAAAGATGAATTCCTCCACAAAGTATGCTTTTACTCCAGGACAGAGTGCACACGCAGAGGGTAATCTTTCTGGCACTGCTGAACAGCTCTGCAACAGCTAATGCACGAGTAAACAACCTGCCCTCCATTATTCCTCTTCTTAGAAAAGCCGATGAATGCACAGAATATGAAGATCATTTTCTATCCCAAAGTGCACCTTTGGATAACCAGTTACACCCTACATCTTCAAAGCACTGTGTGATCACTAGCTGCTTGCTTGGCTCCCAGCAGATGCTGTGCAATGACTCCGCGCATTCTGTCACCTTACACAGCAGGCAAGTGACAAGGTGTCCTCATCCCTACCACTGCCTTCACTGTGCAACTCCAGCTGCAGCTCGGGCTGTGGCGAGGAGACACACCACTGCTGTCTGCATTTCCTCTCAAGTGAGATAGTCCCAGCTCAGACAAGGCATGACCCAAGTCAAACCACTGCCGCAAAATATGCAAAGTATTCAGCTGACTTCGCCATCCACACAAAACATTTTAATCCATGGTAACAGGAGGGAAATCATGTGGTTCTTCTGTTGTTTGCTTCTGGTTTTTATTTAGGTTTATATAGATCAAATGGACTAGAGTCAAATATATAAACTAATGCCTCCTCTGAACTTTCAAGCTGGCAGTATGCCTGTTTCTAGTCAGGACAGAATTATCTGATATCTGGCCTTCCAGAATGTAACACATCAAGATTCAGCCTTCAAGAGCGCACATTTATGTCTGAATTGTTTTGGAAAAACTGTGCCTTGTGGTTTCCATAGGAATATGTTTCACATACAGTTTGTTTGAGATTAAAACATTCCTGTGGCACACCTGGAGCTTCAGAATGGCAGAATGCTCCTGGGCAAAGACACAGCAATTTCTTCATATTCTTCAGCTCTCCTATCTCTAGCAGCATTTGTGGTTTTTTGTTTGTTTGTTTTGTGTAAAGTTGAAAATAAATTGGAGATTTATGTACAGGAAACAATTCTGTCTATGTTTTCTTTCTCTATGGTCAAGACCAAGAGGAACTGCTAAAGCTGGATGTACAACAGTTCTTGGGATAGGATTGGCAAGATATCAGATCAGCCAAGCTTCATAGACCAGACTGGAGATCCAAGACGGTTAAACTATTAAATGGAGACACCTGGAAGGAACAGGGTTGGTATTGTGGAACTGGGTGATGTTTAAGTCTTTAGAACTTTAGACAAGGCCTTGACAAAATACTGAACACCATGCTGTTGGGACTGATCTGGAATTAAAAAGTCATAAATTTTGCTATCATTAATTTACCTTGAGTTAATCATTAAGGATATGGTATAAAATTAAAGATCTCTTCTGCGTATCAGGATGTCCAGTCCAGACTTGGTTCAGCATCAAAACTCTAGAGGAAATGATGAATTAGGTGGTTGTGTCCATTGATATTAAAGAGATGCCAGTTGAAGTCAAGACCACAACAGGCTGGCTATGACTGGAAAAGAAAAGATGCCAAAGAGAACTTATTAATATCAAAAAAACAGATGAGATTATTCAAGCACAGTTATTTTTCTGAGTGAGAAAGAAATAATCCATAAGTTCGTAAACTATACAAATACAGTAAGCGACAGCAGTCCAAGCACCATAAGCTTCATTTTCTTTGTGATAATTTTAATAGATGATTGTGAAATAAGTATTTTTTTTAATGTATAATAAAGGATGTTATGAAAAGAATACAAAATGCAGACTGGAATAAACAAGGCCACATTTAAGCTTTGCAAAATCTAAACCCAGTTAACAGTCTTTCTGGAGCCATGCATCAATATATCATTGGCAGAGTCCATCAAAAAGTCAAAGGATGTAAGAAAGGCTTTCATTTTTGAGAATGCACATTCTCAAGATTAAAAACAGGAAATCAATAATAGACAACACCAGGGCTGAAAGGGACATCAGGAGATAAGCTAGTTCAAAGCAGAATCAACTAACTTTGGCAGATGTTTGCTTGCCTGGAGAGGCTGTGGATTTTCTTTGACCAGAGGTTTTTTGTTTTGTTTTGTTTTTGTTTTGTTTGTTTTTGTTTTTTGTTTGTTTGTTTGTTTGTTTATTTGAGAAAGAACCAGACAATTTCAGCGCTTGACTATCCTTGCCATTACCCTTGAACTTCATTATTCACTTAATAATGCAATTTTGTTTGTAAAAATGTGCAATATTCTTTGAGCTACCTTCTCGTTTTAAAAGGTCAAGTAACTGTGACTAACTCTCGCATTCTCATGTCTTCTGCCACAAAAGAGACAAAATCCCAGCACAGTAAATTCTAAAATAATTGCCCAAAGCTGATGCATCACCTGGGCTTGTTCGTACCTGCTCACCCCTTTTGGGGCTAGAGAATTGTAACCACATAGTTCTGTAACACAGTATTGCCATTCCCAGTTTTAGGGTGAATTTGCAAGGCCTCAGGAGCGAGGCTTGCAAGGCTTGCTTTCTGTGAACTTCTGCTGACCCTTTCGTAACTTTGTTTTACTTGGTTAGCTGGGACAGCAGTTTCCATAATTGACCAGGTGTCTGTGGCTAATTTGTTTTGCTTCTGCTTATCTGTGTTGTACAGCCATCAATTTATAAAAATAGCAGTAACAAGCAGTTATTATGTAGAATGAGAGATTTACAGCTAGCACAATGATGTAGCGTGGAGAAATACAGGCCTGATGTGATAGCAGAGGCCTTGAAAATTGCAGACAAGATGGGATGCAAAGGAGTACAGGCAAGTGATGATAAGAGGCAGGGCACAGGCTTGGCATTGGAGAATTGGTGGCTATAAACAGCTCACTGGTGATCAGTCAAAGAAATGCAGGCCTGCAGCTGGACAAAACTGGATTTGGTAGAAACAAAGAAACAGTATCTAACATACATAATATGCACTGTGCATAGCAAAATGAGATGTAATGTAAAACCACTGCCATGAACATCATATTTCTCCCAGCGAAGGACTCCGGGTGGGACAACTCTCTGCAACATTCCCCACACACACCAGAATGTAGCCACCAACCTTGCAACCCACAGGAGCAGTGGAAGAGGGAGTGAAATACAAGGAAAAGGGATAGAAACCAAAAAGTGTGTTACGATTTTATAGAAGGACTGTAACTGCATTATTGCTCTTTCTGTAAGTTACAGCTGGATCAATAAACATTAGACTCTTAAGATTTCACTTATACTAACAATAAATTCTTGGCTTTGCATTAAATGTACTTCCTCTTTGTCCATAAACAAGATTCTGAGCATAGCAGTGTGTGTCCCTAATTAGTGGCTGACATACCCACTGCTAAATTTCACTGGTGGCTGATAAACTAGAAGAAGCTCGAGGACTGCCTCAGCTAACAAGCAGACCAGTACCAAAACAGACATGGATTAAGCAGTCATCCTGGCTGTAGCTTAAAATTCAGTCTTTTAAAATCTATCACTGAACACGTATCTAATTATGCTAACATATTAAAAATAAATAAATAAATTAATTAATTAAATTAAATTGTAGCATTGAAAAAAAAAGCAGCCTTTTTCATTTTTAACAAAATAATTTGTCCTATGAGGAGGGCTGCTGCTGCGACCTTCTGCAATTTATCAATTTCAGAGTGAAATTCTGCACAAAATCTTTGTTACAAGGAACAAAATGCAGTTGCGGAAATATGCTACTCTGAATCATGAAATGACTACTTTGGGAGATACAGGCCTTTTTTTACATTGGGAGAGCTTTCTAAATAGCTTTTGCAAATTCCAAAATAACTGCTCTTGACTAACTCCACACATGGAGATTTTTGCTCTGGAGTAAGTGCACGTTGTTCTACTTTGGCTTAATCAACTTTATGATAAACAGGAAGAACAGGCTAATTATGGAATAAGACTGCCTACATATGTAGCTAAGTGGGAAGGGTAATTGCACGCACTTACATACATCTTTGGTCATTTGTGTTAACCTCTAAGGTCAGATGAATTTTACCACTGCTTTCTTCATCCTACTTTTATTTCCTATGAAATCGTTACCAGTCTTCAAAAAGTCACTGCCAATGCTACTGACAAGCCTGCATTTGAATTAATGCTCAGTCACAGAGCTGGTTCAAGTCTGTGGGTGAATCATCTTCATCTCACTCAAGTAAAATGGCAGAATTGACTCAATCTTCATCAAAAGTCACCTGAAAGAGTTACAACAAGAAAATTGCTCACGGATGGGCCTACCATGTGGCAGGACACAGGACTGCATGTATATTCCTCGCACCAAAGGAATTCTGACTCCTAAGACAAACAAACTGGAAGTACTGCAAATATTGTCTTAACTGTTATGGCCAAAAAAGTCGATGCTTCTCTAACTTACTCACATATCAGCATTGAAAATTATTCTACATTAGACACAAAATAAAGCAGCTTAATCCATCAAACACAGAAGAGCAGAGTTTTTCAGTGCTACAGCTAAAAAAAGTATAATTTATGGAATGTTTTTTCCTTTAATATATCCCAGCTCGCAGCTCGCAGAAGCCGAGCGCTTCTGTTGTCAAGCAAGTTGAATAATGACTTTGAGTACACTGCTCTGTTTTGTACTGAGGGCAGCATTTTCATTGGCATGGTTCAGAAACAAGAATGTATTTAATGTACAGCTAATAATAATAATAATAAAAAAAAAGTTTGATTTCCAGGTTACACAAGAATTTACTGGTCACATCAAGAAATGACATTTTACAAGAAAGATATTTTTAAAATCACACTTGGAAGAGGTTCAGCACTGGTATTAGAGACATTTCTTCTTAAAAAAGAAATACAAAAACCAGAACACCCCACAAGCTTTGAGGAACTTCTACTTTTGAAAAACAAATGATTTTCGCAGTGTTTCTAGTGTTTCTTCATACTTGATGAGTCTGGAAAAGTTAAGGCTTTCTAGCTCAGCTTCTCAGCTGGCAGCAGCTTTTCTTCTAAACCAGCCACACTGCAGAACTAGATGTGCTCTTCTTTTGGCCAGTTTTCTACTCTTGGCTTTGCTGCTCCTTCTGCAAGTGAGTTTGTATGTAAACCACAGAAAAAAACAATCTTGCTCTATTTGTATTCCATATGTTTGCCAGGCTAGTGGCCAGAAGAGATCATGAGCAGTTTCTTTTCAAATTCTAAAACGTGGATAGGCATTGACTGCCTCATCGCAGTTATTTTCAGCTTAGAATAACATTTAGAACACTCAGAAGAATTGTAGCCGGCTTAACATACCGTGCTTCCTTGATTTTGCTATACATAAAGCCTTCATTTGCAGTGATGGCCCAGCCAATAATTATCTCCAGTCTTGCACCTTTAAACTTCAGTGATTGATTAACCTGATTATTCTTGTTTCATCCCTTGCTCGAATTTCCTTGGATTATCATGGTTTCTTTACCAGCCTTAATGGAAGTGTGTCTGCTTCTTAAACATTTCCCCTGTCTATACCTCAAAGTAAGTTTATATGCCTTCCTCCTCTGAATTTGATGGTTATAAGTGGCATGTAATAGTCTCTGAAACTCAGTACAGGTGCACAAGTCCCACTAAGTTCAACAGCAAACTGGCGATAAGAAGCTGATGAGAATAACAACCATCTTCTACCCCAGGCATTTGTGAGGACAATGACTGAGTGACCTTGAAGGAACTCTATCGAAAGTAAAAGCATCTGCAAATCGACTCAGGAGGCCGAACTACCCAGGCAGAGGACTTTTCTGGGTGTTCCTTCAGGAGGAAGTTATGTATATTTGATAGAAAAAAAAGACAGGGAAGGAAATTCCAGACACTGTTGGAATAAATACACAGCATATCGTTCATCACCAAACACAGTATTAAAATTCCTAAAGAGCAAATGCTGGAGGAAGCCTATTGAGAAGGACAAAAATGCTACAGAATCCTGAACTATCATAATTGCAAGACTAAAAACACAAAACATTGTTTAAAATCTCTTAGAGGACCTGCTTCCAGACAAAGGAAGGAAGTCCTCTCACCCATTCTTAGGATGATGGACGGTTCTAACAGGGAACAGGGAAGGGACCTTACTGGCTTAGGGACAGAATCTGTGGAGATAAACTGACAAAAAAGCAACACTAAAAATTGCAAAGCAATCCTACTTCCATACTCCCTGTATGCGAGCAACTGCCCTTGAGGATCTTTCTGTATTTGCACGGCATATGTGGATGCCATCAAAGAAGACGAGCTATGGCAGCAGGAGAAAGAAAAATTCACTCAACCAACCACAACATCTTCCATCCTTCTCCAAACACTTTATCACCTCTCTAGGATGACGTGCTATTTTTAGCCTTCTAGTTTTCAGCATATGTTGAGACTGCTTCCAAACGCTTTCTTTCTGATCCTTTTCCAGCTCTGCGTCTTGGGTCTGGAGGTCTGAAATAAATACTGAGTCTGGATTGCCCTCATTTAGCATGTGCCAGTGGACCCAGTACCCAAGGAAGTATTTGCACTAATTAGACACACACAAGAGGATATCCATGCAAGCAGCTCCGATGGGTTCCAGCTATCTAGGACTGACAAACACATACATATGTATATGTACACGCACCCTCCTGCTCCTCATATGGGGAGGACACATTACAGCAGAGCAAAGACATTCAGAGCAGCAAGCCTGCAAAGTCTTAGTGAAATAAGATACGTTTTACCTTTTCATCCCAGTTCTATGCCTGGAAAAGTCACTGTTTAATACTTTTCCTTGTTTGGACTTAGAGGACTTTGCTTCCAAGGCATGATGAGGTTGGTATTTGCTAGAAGCTTGTCCACGTCATAGTTCCTTCAAGAAAAAAAAAAAAAAAAAAAAAAAAAAAAAAAGGCAGGAGAAAAGTTTGAGTCATTTACCACATTGGTGGGAATAATGCCTTAATTTTCATGTATTCTCTTTAAAGAGCCTAGCTCATCCACAAGTGAGACATAACTGTTTCTAGGGTAAAATACAGCATCCACTAGTGCTGGCAACACCACGCTGCAGTCATGTGAAGAGGAATCAAAACATCCTCTCCTGCTGAAGCTGCTGGAGAAATTTCAGGGTGGTAGAAGGCAATTACAGGCTTGGAAAATAGCTGTGACACCAGGATAATGCCTCCATCTCGTAAAAAATAACTGATTAAATTATACCATAAATGCCTAACATTGCTGAAGTCAGCTGTCTCCAACAGAAGCAAATTTGGAGATAGCCTCCCTCGAGATTTATTGAGTCCATAAATTCCTTTAACAAAATTAATAAAGCACAACACGCTCATCTTCTCAGTTTCAATTTGCAGGTCTCAGAAGAAAAGTGGCACTAGCATCACATCGTTACTGTATTTCTTTGAGTCAGTTTAATAAGCAAATTAATCCACTCCAAATACCCATTCCCTGCGCAGTTACTCAGTGAAATCTGTTTCCCCCTTGCTGCTCCACGATGACAAAGCGGTGTGGGTGAGAAGTCTTCTCCTAACACTCTGTAATGGCAGGACCCTGGCTGTGGCGAGACAAATTGACACGTTGGCAGCGTGCAGTTCACTTGGATGATTTTTAAATATACACAAAGGGTTTCCAAAGGATAAAAGTGACCTAGAGCCTGGCATAATTGCTGTAAAAGTGCATGTTACAAGAACAAAAAAATACACTAAACTATGTGCTTGGTCAAGAGAAACAGAAGTTGTTGCTTCCACTTGCTGGCAGGCAGGACAACACAAACGTTCATTACAAAAATATGTAGAAATCAGCAAGATGCAAGCTGATCTTGAGCACAGCACAGCTCTGTGTGCTGTGCTCAGAGTAAGCGTCCTCTGCAATAGCACTGAATATAAGAGAAAATGCCTGGCATACTTTATTTTGGACTTTAAGGAGAACGATTTGATCTCTTGCCAGCTTTTTTTCTAGGGGGTTGGATTTAACAGAATGAGCAGACCTTACGACTGATCACCCATTTCTTTTCCACTTTTTCAGCATACAATACAAGAAAAATATACACATTATTAAATTCAATTTAAGAACAATATAGTTCAACGTATTTCCAAAGCATCTCTAGAGAAATAAATGGCTGTCAGCACCGACTTCGAATGCTCTCACTGGCTTCTGTATCAGGTTCAGCATTCCTAGCCTCCTATTCAATGCAGCCTCTGTCTACATTTACCACTGCCATTCCTTCCACTGCTCACACTTTTTTCCATCCTACTTTGCCCAAATAGCCTTCTCGCACTTTTCTCCTTCTGCCTTACTTTATTTGCTCTCTATGCTGAGAACTTTTCCCTTCCTTATGCGACAAATAGCCATCTTTCATTTCTTCTAAAACTCTAACAAAACCATGACTGATAAGAACAGTGAATTTCTGCTAGACATTTTAAAGAAATTTGTGTCCAAGCACAGTGGAAATGTCCTTGCATTATTCCATCATACAAGTAATTCAGGTCCCAAGATTTCAAAACAATTAAATCAGAAGCTCCTAATTAAACAGCCAAAACTTAATTGCCAGGCACCTGCATTAGCTGCAAAATAAATGGTTATTATGGAGTATTTTTGAAAACATAACTACCTCTATAGGTGACTAAATACCGAACTAGGATATTTGTTTCAGAAACCACAATCTTTTTGTTGTTGTTGTTGTTTTTTACTGACTTGATCATCCTTATTTGCAACCTGTTGAACGCTGGCTCACCTGTCTCAACTTCAATTACAAGCTTTCCCGTGTCCTGCACAAGGCTTGGCATACTGACATGACTCCCAACAACAAGTTATCGCCACCAGTTGTTTGATCTTGGAACCGAAGTAGCACATTACTTCACCAGTGGATGAATGAATGTATTGTGGAAAGAGCCTGCCTGCTCACCTGTGACAATCTCGCTTTCTCTTGGACTGACAAGATCTAAACCTTCAGGGACTCATTTTCACCTGCTTTTATTTCCAAAATGAATCAAATTACATAGACACGTGAGCTAGGAATAAGTACCTAAGTACAACACCTCCTCCCTCACAATATTAAATATGAGATTCTTCAAAATATTGAAGCGCTTGGTGCATAAGTCAAAACTGAGAATTGTTTTTCCCATGTCACGTTCTTCGTTTACTTCTTTTCAGAAGGAAATATGTACTGTAATTTGGCTGCAGACCACAACAGAGACAATGAGCACTGCCTGTGGAAGGCTGACCTATGATGAGAGTCCCTAGATAACCAGCAAAGCAAAGCTGCTGTCGGACATGTGATGGAAATTAGTAAGACCAAACTTAGAAAAGAAAAAAACTCCTGAGGACTTTAGGGGATCCTTTCTTAACGGTTAAGAAAAAATTCATTTTTTACATCATCTGACAGACAAACTGATCCAAAACAAAAAGAAACAAACCTGTCAGTAATAGGAACAAGACGAAGAAGTCAGCAGTGGATTCTTCCAAAGAAAGCCTTAGTTTCTGTGACACATCCACTTGGTGGCTGCACATCTTTGCAAGCATTACATTACATTCTTGCAGGGAGTGCTTATTAGTCTTCTTTGGACTGCTCGTCATCTTGAAGGAATGCGGGGAAAGGAAGGAGAATGAAAAACAGTTCATCAGTTTTGAATCCAAGACTCAGAAACAAGTTTATGCAGAGAGCACCCTCCACAATGTCTATTTTGCTTGGACATGCAACACAACCGTCATTTTCATTTTGGATGCTACATTCACAGTTTGTATTTTCAGCGTTCTTCCCCCTGTGAATCAACAAAGATCCTGCTTTACCACTAGAAAACACAGCAGCACCATCCAGCTATTTATGACAGCTGTTGAGCTGTCAAGAATACTGCATGTGGCCCTAGTAGGTCTCACATTTGCATCCCTTGCTACCCCAGAGAATGATGCAAAAATAATAATAATAAAAAATTAGTGCTGAACGTACCATAGTACCTGGCCTTCACAGGTCTCTTAGAAATGGATTCTAAATCTTGGATGTTTCTAAATAGTTTTACCCCAGGCTACTTCAGGTTTTCTGTGAGCAGTCATATGCATTCCCCTAAAACCTGAAAAGCTCCTTCAACTACATACAAGCTTACAGCAGACACCAGGTATGGAAAGGACTTTTGGGGCCACACAGTCCATTCCCATGGTACTGTAGACACCAGATAATGTAAACCCTTCATTATTTCTAATTTTGCTTTTGATAAAAGCCAGCCCACAGACATGCCTTTTTAACAAAAAGAATTGGAGTAAGACCTATAGGCCAAGGGAGCCTGGGGAGAAAAATGACCACGTTGTTTGAACATTAAACTCGTAGAGAGACTAGGGAGAGCCGGTTACCTCAGTGTTCTCACTACTTACTACTTTACTGTCTTTGGTGATAGCAGGTTGTTTGTCTTGATTTTCCATTTCCAAATGGGAGCAGTCCCAGTCAGTGTAGCTCTTGGCATTGCCAGTGTGCCTAAGTGGAGAGAAAGAAGGAATAGTGAATGAACAGATACTTGGTACTTTTCTGTACAGTGTGCTAAACATACTAAGCTTCCCATTATCCTGTGATGCAGTAGCACTTAGACAAAGCCCAGCTGATGGCCATCTAAGACATGAGATAAAAATAAGCAAGAGACAATGAGAATGAGATGAAAGACAGGGAAGCAAGCAAGGAGTAGCCAGGTAGAACAGTTTGGTTGAGCCTCTTCAGAGGCCTGGGAAATTTCTATACAACATCATGACCTTATAGCCACTTTTCATGTTTCTAGAGCCGAGGATACATGTCATGCACGTTAGTACATATAAGAAAGGCCTACATAAATAAATATGAAGGCATATGTGCAAATTCAAGGAAGGAGGGAAAAGATGGAGACTGAAAGACAAGGGATAACTCAATTTCCAGCTCACAGCTTGCTTAAGCTGCCTTTCCTGACAGGAACAAAGCCACTCTCATCTATCATCCATTCTGAAATTACACTGAAAAGCTGTGTCTTGAATTCATCAATACTGAAACATGATCTTGGGAAACCAGAACTGAAGTAGATGTACAAGGCTCAACTCAGCAATGAAGGGAAAACCTAGGGTTTAAGGGAAGAAAGATGACAAATCCATGTAGTTTTTATTTGAAAGATCACTGTCAGACTGTTCTTTTGGATGACAAACTCCATATTTCTGCCAGAGGCATAACTGAAGCCTTGAACAGCCAGCTCAAGTATCAATACACTGTTATCAGTTCACTAGTTCAGACAAACCTCCGATTGTACGATCTGCATGACCTGAAAGCATACACACTCTTTATTTTGGATTAAGTAACAACCGAAGTTTCAATTGATTCAGAGCCTATAATTAAATAGAATTGTCATATTTAGCAAAAGAAGAATTAAAACATTTCTCCCTCTCCTTTTTTTTTTATTTTAAGGAAGGTGATGTCAGCAAGAGAGAACAATCAGACAGTTTGCTAATGTAGATATTTAGAACCTTCAGGAGACAGTAAAAGCCCTCTGTGAGAAGAAGAAAATGAAGAACCCAGGATTAAGTAATAAGCTCAGAGAGAAGGCACGTGTGTTAGGTGAAGGTATATTATTTGGGTAAGACATAGAGGGCAAAAATGAGTGACTAGAAATCAGAACAGTGCTTTTCCCTCATTTGAATATTTTCTTTATAAAACTTTATTATCCAGAAGACAAAGGCATGAACTTTCCTGGTTATCACTTGGTGATTTAATTTAAGGGTAACACCCATTACACCTCCGTGTCTTCAAAAGTCACAGTACAACGGATGATTGCATATTAGGATCCCTGTAAGAATCAATTAATAGATGCCTACACATCACTGTGAAAGTCTCTATAGAATAAGTATTAGTTCCAGACTGCTCCTGTGATGATGGATTTCTGCATCTCATTTTACTGACTGTTTCCTCTGCCTAGCTATACACATTTTAGTGAGGGCCTCCTGGTGGTGAAAACTGTGACAGTCAAAGAGGAGGAAAGTTTGCAGTGAGGTGAGACAGCTGTCCTCTTATCTCTTGAGCTGACTATAATGAAAAGAGAAACAGAAAAAGAGTTGTTTGCTTCATCAATAAAATATAGGTGAGATACATAGTCTGATATCTACGATGCTAGAAGAAAGGGCTTAATTAACTGCAGAACACTGAGGTAACAAATTACCTCACTGCTGAAGAAATTAATTGGGCATGAAATTAATTTCATTATATATATTAAAAAGAAGTATAGGTTTTACACTCAGTCTACTCAGTCTTATTTAGCCCACCAGTGAATACAGCAAGCTTCAAGCAGCAATAATTAAAATGAATGTTCTCTTTGACATCAGAATAAGCCTGGATTGTCTAAGTTCACTAGTCGGTGGAGTTTCTCTCTAATTGTTGATATAACAGAACAATTTTACCTCAGTGTATATGAAAAAAGGCAAGAGAAACACTGTGGAGTTAAAAGAGTCTCTCAGATCATCTAAGCTGTATTGATTGCATCAATTCTGTATTGATTGCAACCTGTAAAAAACCTGAAGATGCTCCAAATTAGGCCACCAAGAATAGCTTGAACCTATTCCACAACTTTTACACTGTCATGTGCGACAGCCCCATCTTTCATCCTGTCACTCTCTCAGCCTTCCACCAGATTTCCAACGACGTCTTCATAAAAAGAGACGCGGTTTCCTTACATGATGACTGCAGCATGCAGGTTCCTCAGTGTTCAATAAGCTTTTGCAAATCCTAAGCGATCTCCATACTCATTGTGCTGAGAGGTAAGACTGCACTAGGTGTTCCCTTCCCCACAAAGTGACAGGCACAGAACACGGCGCTGCACCATAATGCTTTTAACACATCTAAAGTCACGTGTCAAGCTATCCCTTGGCAGGAGAACAATACAATATATTGAGAGGCAACGCTAAAAATAGCAACGGTCAGTTCATCCCAATAACTACCTGATATAAGTGGAGATAAAAACACCGAAAGCTGTTGCCAGGATAGCCTGAGAGGTTGGTGCAGCGAGGAAATTCCACGGCATTTTTCGAGGAAATTAAGTCTGGCAAGAAATGAAATTTAGTAAAAACATGCAAAGGAAGAAAGATTCCTGAAGTAAATCATTCTGAAAGTCAGACACTGAACCTCTTTCTCTTGCTCTCAAACTTCTGGAGCTTTCTAAACTCTCATTCACGAGCCCTACGGACTGTAAAAGGCTCCCTGTACAAACTAGCATCTGTGTGCACAGCCGTGAGGTGTACAGAAATACGCGTTCATGTCACACGCCAAGGTGGTGGGGACAGGCTGCCTGCCTTTCTCTGAGCCTGCCTTTGTCAGAGGGTCACTGCGAGGCCCTGGATAAACGGGACTGCTTCATTTTGTACTAGTCATGATGCATTACTACAACGCTCATCCTGCCTAGTGCAAGAACTCTCATGCACAACTGGATAATACAGTTTTTGTTATTATACAGAATGCATTTATTTACAATTATAATACAATTATAACTTATTACACAGAATACGGCATTCCTCTTGGAAGGAGAACGTGACTACCCCTACAGAGCTGGCAGGGCACGTTTAAAGCCTGCTCACCCCCTCCAGTAACAAACTCCTTGAGCTTTATAATGGAAATATAGGTGCCTTTGAGCATCTCGTGGCATTTCTTCTCCCATCTGGAGCTCTTCTGAGCATTTATTTGGAAATCCAACACTTTCAATGCCTTTAAGAACAGTTGGGGGGGGAGGGGGGTAAGAAAACAAGCGTTAAGAGCTGAGATCCTCGTTCCTGCGTGGTCTGTGACCCACAAGCACCCACTTTAGGGGCAGGTTTTCCATTCCATAACTAACTTTATGTTCTGCCCCTTTTAATTCCCAATTTCTCGCCTCACTTCCCACCCTCCTCACCACCCCGTACGGCTGTTAAGCGCTGAGCAGCCCCGCAGCCCCACAAAACCCCCACCTACCCTCCACAAACCCCTCTAAACCGCCTGCCTACGTTCTCATTTTCTCCTTTTTTTACAGCTTTCCCGTTCCTCCCGCTCCCATTTGCCCTTATAAGGAGGGCTCCCCCCCCCCCCGCCTCAGGCCCCAGGGCCGTCGCCATGGCGACGCAACGGCCGCAAACCGCTGCCGGGCCACGCGGCGGAGCAGCCCACTGCGCGGAGCGGCCGGGGGTCGCTGCCCCGCTGAGGTGATTTATTCCCCTCCCCCCCCCCTTATCCCCCATGGAACAGCCCGCTCCTGCCGCCCCCGCACGGCGGGGCAGACCCAACCACCGCGAGGGCGGGGGGGGGAGGAGGGGAGAGGGGGGTGGTGTTTCGCTGAGCCCGCTTGTTGCGCTACTGAGGTGACGAGAAGGGAAAGCGGAGCCAGAAGGGAGTTGGCTTTAAGGGGTTCACTGCCCCGCCGGCTTCTCCTCAGCGCGGACCGGGCGGGTGGCTCCCCCCGTCCCTTCGAGTGGTACGGCCCGCGCCCCCCCAGTATTGTGGGGGGGGGGGAGGTGGCGAGTGCGCATGCGCCGGCCGCTGTGGGGCAGGGGGCGAGGGCGGGAAGGGCCGGGCGGCGGTTCGCGGCCGTTGGGGGGCTGACGTCACGGGCGGGCGCGCGCCGCTCCCCCCCAGCCAACCGCAGCGCTCGGCTCGGTCACGTGGCCGCGTGAGGCGCGAAGGCGGCCGCGTGCTGAGGGGGGGGGAGGGGCGCGGGCGCCTCACGGAGCCGCCTCAGGAGGGGGGCGGCCATCGGCGGGACCCGGCCCCTCAGACCTCACCTATCTCCTCCTCCTGCTCCTCCTCCTTCTTCTTCTTCTTCTTCTAATTCTTCTTCTTCTTCTCCGGGGAGGGCAGGGCGCCATGCCTCTCTTCGGGAGCACCTTCAGCCCCAAGAAGACGCCGCCCCGCAAAGCCGCCTCGCTGTCCAATTTGCACCTGGTAAGCCGCCGGTTGGGGTCGCGGGGTGCTGAGGTACCAGTGGGGTGGCTCGGGGCTGCATCGCCACAGCTCAAATCGGGACCCTGGTCGCTAAGAAATGGGAGAACGTGGTGGTGGTGGTGTGTTACTGTAAACTCCGTGTGCTCCTCTCCCTGCAGATGGATAGATCCACCCGCGAGATCGAGCTGGGACTGGAGTACGGCAGCCCCGCCATGAACCTCGCTGGCCAGAGCCTCAAGTTTGAAAACGGCCAGTGGGTGGCAGGTAGAGCGCAGCTCGGCGTGTGTGGGTCTGCGATGGTAACGGGTGGCTGACGGTCCTTATCGCGGTCTCTTTGTTTCCTCCAGAGTCAGGGAGCTTCACGGGAGATCGCAGGGAAATGCAGCGCTTGCGCAAACGGAACCAGCAGCTGGAGGAGGAGAACAACCTGCTCCGCTTGAAAGTGGATATTCTGCTGGACATGGTGAGTCCTGACTGAACCTCCGCCTGTCTGCAGCCGCGGAAGTGCCCACGTGAAGGGTTCTGGGAGCACTGAAGGAAGCGGCTCTTACTGCAGGGGGTGCACCCCACTCCTCCTGCTTTCCCCCACTCTGCAAGAGAGCTTTGGTGCCAAAGTCAATGTGGCAGTAGCACAGTCTGATCTTACCTGCTCATCCTGCAAGAGGAGAGGTTCCTCCAGCAGCAGGGCTTGGCTTTAGCGTGACTGGGTTGGCCAGGAGCCCCTGCAAGTGCCATGTTTCCTCTTAGCAGGGAGTACGACATCACTTCTGCCACTCCAGGCTCTGCCCTAAATGTGAAGTCGAGTTACAGTCACACTTTCTGGTCACGGATTAAAGCTCCAGGATCTTCCCTGTGGTCTCCCATCTCCTCTGTATGCAGGCCTCTGGGTGAAGGAATTCCCAAGCCGTAAATTCACTGAAACTCAGCCTTACACAACGCTCACAGCTTTCACACTCAAAATCTGGAGACTTTTTTTCCTGCAATGGGTTTGTTTATACATTCTCAGCACATTAAATGACTTCGCCTCTATGTCAGTCTGAAAAAAATGCGTTCCTTCATCATTTCCTTTCCGTATGTTCTTCCCATGTTCTAAAACTGGAAAGCTGCTTCTGCGGCTGGAGCCCTGCGCTCAGCAGAAACTTGAGCTGTTTGCCCCTTGTGCTAGGCTGTCTGAGCGGGGCATCTCCGCTCCCCTCCCGCTGAAGTGGGAACACACACACACACACACACACTGTCACACGGGTGCTGGCTCATGGCTGTAAATTTTTGTGACGTTTCTGGAAAGCGCCTCATTGTTCGCTGTTTGCCTCGCAGCTCTCCGAGACCACCGCCGAGTCCCACCTGATGGAGAAGGAGCTGGAGGAACTGAAGAGCCACAGCCGGAGGAGGAAGTGAAGAAGAAGAAGAAGAGGAGCTGGCTGGAGGAGGAGGGAGCCAGGAGGCTGGCTTACGAGTCCTCCTTGCCCCTGCGGGCAGCATGCCTGGGACTGACTTGGACTTGTGTCGGTACTAACACAGGGACTCTTCCACGCACAAGATGCCTGTGGTGCTGCGGGTCCTATAAGAGATGCTGCAGCGCCTGATCAGTCGCAGCACAGCGCTGTTAATCACCGCTTGTCTTTTTTTATCGGAGCACTTTACAGCCTCCCTTCCCGGCCGTGTAACTGCAGGTACCTAACGCTCTGAGACGGCGGAGCTTCCCCCTCCGCTGCCTCCCCGTGCAGCCTCACCCCTTTTTCCCATTAAACGTTGCCTGGAACCCAACCCCCCGACTGTCCGCCGCCTGTTTGCCACCTCCGCGCTGCCGGGTGGCGCTGTCCCCGCGCCGTGCCCCGCTCCTCCCCCGGCGCCGCTGCTGCCGCGGTTCCGCTTCCTGCGCCTCGCTGCCCCGCTCCGTCCCCGGCGCTGCTGGCCATGGCCGCCCCCGCGCCCCTGCCTGCCGACGAGCTGCTGCCCAAGGGCGGCGCGGGCAAGGCGGAGGAGCTGGAGGACGAGCTGGAGGAGGACGACGACGACGAGGAGGTAGCGGGGAGCGCAGGGGGGAAAAACCAACCGAGCGGGGTGACCCTGGAGGCCGGCAGGGCCCTGACCCCGCGTTTGTCTCCCGCAGCTGGACGAGACCCTGGCGGAGCGGCTGTGGGGGCTGACCGAGATGTTCCCCGAGAGCGTCCGCTCGGCGGCCGGCGCCACCTTCGAGCTGTCGCTGACGGTGGCGCAGAAGGTGTACAGGTGAGGGCGGCCGCCGGGGGCGGGCTTTTTGGGGACGCTGAGCGGCTGCGAGCGGCCGAGAGGAGCCTTCCCCACGGCGCTTTCCCCTCCTTAGGTTCTCCAGGGCGGCTCTGTGGATCGGGACCACCTCCTTCATGATTCTCGTGCTTCCTGTCGTCTTCGAAACCGAAAAGCTGCAGATGGAGCAACAGCAGCAGCTGCAGCAGCGACAGGTGAGGCTGAGACACCGCAGCCCTCTCCTTGCCGTTTGATCCGGCTCCCGCACGGCCTCGCAGCCATCAGGCGTTGGCAGAGCTCTGGAAATCGCAGCGTGATTTGTGCCGTGCTGTGGTTTCGGCTCCCGCCTGGTCCCAGGGGTGTTCATTGGCCCCGCTCCAGCTGGGGGAGGGCAGCGAGGTGCAGCCCCTTTACGGATTCTCTTTTTTTTTTAATCGATTCTTTCTTACAGATCCTCCTCGGACCCAACACGGGGCTGTCTGGGGGCATGCCAGGGGCCCTCCCTCCGCTGTCTGGAAAAATCTAACTGGTAGAAGCTGCGTTGGATTCGTATCATGTGGGAAGACCTTGAGATTATGCTGTATTGAACTGTTGATTTGTTGGGTCAGGGCATTTTTTTTTGTTTGTTTGTTTTTATTTTTTGGTTATAACTTTGGGACATTGACCTGTTCATAACGTGGGGGGGGAATTCCCCCCGTCTGGACCTGATGATGGCTCCTGCCTGCATTTTTCCCCCTGTACAAGTCGTGAGTCTTTTCTTTCATTCAGTCACCGCGCCGCTACCAGGTACAAAGAGCTGAAAGCGGGGAGCTCCTAAACCATCCCGGGGCTCAAGTCGGGCTTCAGCTGGCAGCGGCCAAACCCTCACCTTTCGGGGCTACCTGGAAGCCTCAGGACACCGGCGATAGAACAAGTAGCGACTGTCCCAGCAGGTGAAGCGAAGGAGGAGGAAGAGGGGTTGCAGGTAGCTGTACCCCCTGGAGAAAAAAAATAATAATCCTCTGTGCAGCCACGTGTGCAAATATTTTCACTGCGACTTTGTGTGTGTGCGTGTGGAGTACCGAGGGAGCAGCCACCCAGGTTAAAGATCACGTCCGTGCTGATCCTCCGCGTCGTAGAGTAGACCTTCAGATATCAGCTGCATATTTTTTTGTATCGAATATTAAATAAATCCAACCTGAGCAGTGTGGTTTTAATAGATGGCCCTGCGAGAGCCTCAGTTCTTTCCTCGAGGGGAGAGGGGCTGTGCAGGGGGGGACCCTTCTTGTTCAGGCCCGGTGTTGCTGAGGGGGAGGAGGGCCGGGAAAATTTGGGGTAATTTGAGGGAGTTTTTAAGAGAGATTGTACAAATCTAGAATTCTGATTCCAGAGGTTTTGCCTCAGCACCACCAACCAAGTCTCGGGGTTCTTGACTCTCCCCAAGGCCTCCATTTTATAACCAAAGAAAAAAAATTTATTTTTCCTTTACATAACTTGTTACAGAACAACTCAGTTGAACATACAGAAGTGATAGGACATTTATATGGAAATTGTTTTTTTTTTTCCCATTTTTTTTTTCATATTTGGTTAAACAAAATACATCTCTGTAAACAAACCCAAGACGAGGCTCTAACAAAACCAAACAAGCAAGAAAACAAACACGGGCTCCCCCCCTCCCCGCGGGACGGGGCCGGTGTGCCCACCCCGTCGCAGCAGCCTCGCTGCCCCCAGGGCCGTGACCGGTCAGTTCCCGTTACCTGAGCAGCTGGATCACGCTATTTTGCCCCAAAGGAGAGGTGCTGACGGGCGAGGAGAGGAAAAGCAGCCCCAAAGTCCTTTAAAACATCTTTGCATATTGTGCACTGATCCGTTGGCTTGCAGTTTCCATGCAAACAGGGTTTCTCCAAAGTGCGATTTTCAATCAGCATAGAAAACGTTGCTGTTGAGATTTTTTTTTTTTCCCCCCCTTTCCTCTCTTGAAGAAATGGCTTCAAGTCAGGAGCAGAATGGCTGCAGGCTTCGCATTCTGCTTGTGAAGTGTTTAAAAACTCTGCCGGCTGGTATCGGTCACTGGAATGTGTTACGAAACGGGACTTTTTATAGAAACCTTGGGTTCTTAAAACACAGGAGCTGGCTGCGCCCGGCTTCAGGAGGCTGTGCTCAGCACGCTGCGGGGCAGCAAACGCCACTGGGGTCCTGTCATCACACAGCCTCTGCCCTTGGGAACGGCGAGGCGCGGTGCAGCGCTCCCGTCCGGCTCCAAACAGCAGCTCGCGCTTCGCAGAGCTCTCAGGGACAAAGAACTGAGAGGGGGTGAAAAGCCCGCAGCCCTCCGAGGCTTTGCTACCCCCCGAGCAGAGCCGCTGGAGCCCCTTCCCCTCCCTTCCCTTCCCTTCAGTTACTGTTTAAGCCCCAGCTCACGTGGAAAGAAGGGAAGCAAACAGCAGCCTGGCCAGGAGCTGCTAAATGCAGCGAGCTCTGCTCCGAATTCAGTGCCGTGGAAGGAACGACAGCGTGCCCAGCGGACAAACCAACCCACCCAGATCCCTCCCAGAGGCTCCGTGGCCAGTCACGTTTTCCCCCGTGGAAGGGAAGGGAGGAAGAAGCCATCTGCCCCTTAGTGGAATGTTTGGCAGCCAGCGCTCAAAGAGAAGTTGGTTCAACCACCAGGCCCCGGGCTGAAGGTTCTGGTGGAGCCTCTGCATCTCCCACATCAGCTGCAAGTGACTACAGAAAGGTAAAACCTAACTATTACTGAAGCCTTCCCTCCCTAGGATGATTTTTTGCCTTCATAACTTTAAACTCCCTGGTAGAAAAACTCCTGCGACATTCTGCATGACATTTGTGACCGCGGGCTAGACTTGTGGAAAGAGGAAAGTAAAGAGGGAATTGATTCCTCTAAAAACCCCTTCGGGGTTATTCCCCTCACCGAGCAGCCCCTAAACCACCAGGTGACCACGCAGAAAACCAAAGCAGCCTCAGATGTTGAAGAAAACAAACCCCAGGACAGTACCAAAGCCCAGGCAGACTGCCGCCTCCACCAAGTTCAGAAACCTGACACTCCTCCACGAGCCTGCGCTTGCTGTTGCCACATCGCCAAACGACCGCTCAGGCACAGACAGAAATCCTCAGAGATCCTGGGGAGGAACCCTCTAGCTACCCAAAGAAATTCTTGGAAGATGACACTTCTTTTTTTTCCTCTCTAATTCTTGGCACAAGCCACCCCTACGAAGCGCAGGGTCGTGCTGAGCACCGTACCAGTCCTAGTGTTCTTAGGAATTGCAGACGCCTTCACGACTACTTGTTTTGGAGACATGCGGAGGAGCGGCAGCGTGCTTGGCCCCTGCTCCTTCCCAGTAAGCTCTGCGGGGAGTTACTGACCACGCGCAGCCTTGGATGATTTGGGGAAAGGGAGGCCAGAGGCTTCCATGCGCCCTGGTCCCAAAGCCCAGTTTTTAAAGAGCGCGACGCCTTCTGGTTAGCTGAAGGGCACACAGCTCGCTCACCTTTGTAATTAAAAGTGATTAGCTTCCAGTTTCCTCCACTCTGCCCTCGATTCTTCCCCACCCACCGCCCCCAGTGTCCTAAGCCACTGCCCTATTGCACCAAGGAAGAAAGGAAAGAGCCTAGGAAAGGAAGGTCCAGAAGAGAAGAGTCGGGGCACCCATTATCCAGGTTTCAGGATGTCAGGAGTTCCGAAAAGGGGCAGAGCTGTAGTGGAAGGACAGAGTGGGTCCGGGTCACACGTCAGCTCGCCAGCTCTGATGTGCTTCCACCTCCTCTGGCACCACCAGCAGGAGTTCACAGTTCTTTCCTCTCAGCTGGTGTTTCAAAAATTTCCTGCAGCAAGGTAAAACAGAAATCTGGAATATTTTGGTGGTGTTTTTCTCCCCAACACCACCTTTTGGATGTCTTCACCCCAGATCACAGCAGCAGAGTGCCACCCAGCCACCTGACGTGGTTCTGCAGCCCCTTCCTGCCCATAAGCTTTTTGCTAACAACAAACCTGGATTAATCGCAGTAACTGTGAAAGTCAAATCAATGTTTTCTCCGCTATCTTCCAACCCATGTTTCCAAAATTCACTCTGTAGCAAGCCCAGATTTATTGAAGAACAGCACACACACACACGATTAAATCTACCAGAAGCCCTGCGCGGCAGATTTGCATCGCTTTAACCTGGAAGCGCACAAAAGGCTTACGTTCCGTTTGCCAAGACTTGCATGGCAGGACAGGCTCTGCAAATACCTGCTCACTGTGCAATAAGCTGGAAAGATCTTTGTGGGGAAATGCACAAACGGATTGGTATCTGATCACACTGGAGCCCCTGGTGGAGCAGGTGGATGTGGCCTGGAGGAGGCTGCGGCCCATGGAGAGCCCCCGCAGGAGCAGGCCCCAGGCCGGAGCTGCAGCCCGTGGAAAGGAGCCCCCGCAGGAGCAGGGGGCTGGGGGGAGCTGCTGCCCACCCGTGGGGGACCCGTGCTGGAGCAGTTTGCTCCTGGGGGATGGATGGACCCCATGGTATGGAGCCGTGTGGGAGCAGTGCTTGGAGAGCTGCTGCCTGTGGGCAGCCCCCGCAGGCTCAGTTCGGGGCATCCCATGGAATTCAACCACAAATGTTTCCACCCCAAGTTTTTAAGAACAAATTCCCAGCAGGGAAGGGAGAACAGGACAGAAACCCACAAATACACACGAAAACAACTGAACAAACTCACCTGAGCTCGCTTTCACCTCCAATCCACTCCGGCACCTTGAGTTTGGAGTCGAGGTTGTAGTAGGTGCCTCCCACCTCCCGGACACAGATCCAGTGCTGTCGCTTGAGGGGGAGCTTCAAGGGACCCCAGCAAAGGCTGGAGGGCAGGTTCATGATGAAGCCCATCACGTTGGACAGGGCAATGACATTAACATCCCTAGGAGAGTGCAGAGAACAAACGGCAAGAAGATTACGTTCTGGTACTCTAACATCATCTGTTTTGTGGTTTTTTTTGTGTGTGTTTTTTTCGTTACAGACAGCAGCCATCTCTGGAATCACACAATTTCTCAATACCTGCGCTTGTCCCACCAAACTGCCTCATAGCCTTTGGTCTGAAGCGCTGCCATGATTACGTTCACATCATAGTTCCCATTCCCCAGCATGCTCTTCTTGTGGGGCGTCACCATGGTGTTGGGAGACAGCCTGCAAACAGAACAAGAGGCTGCTCTAGCAGGTGCTTGTCGAACCCGTATTCCAAAATTGCCATAAATCTCTACGCCTGTTTTTACGAGGTTGGTTTGTTGTTTAACCATGAACTAGTCCATTTTCCCCTCATCCCTCAAGCCAAGGGACCGAGGGGGCTAAATAACACATTAGCAACAACTTTGTTACACAAAACCACCGAGGATCCTAGCTTTGACATGACAGACTGCAAAGTGTGACGCTTTTTCCTCTCCTTGAGCTCATTGATACTTCTGAACAGTGCTTTAATTATCATTCCCTCAGCTGAGGGCTGGAACAAACGCCAGTTTGCCGTTTAGAACAACGGTTATCACGACTTCAGGAGTTTAACAGTCACCATCAGTCTTGATGACTGGATGAGATGGCAAGAGCTAGGGTAGGCTGGCTGCAGGAAAAGTTGTTCTCCTGTCCCCTGCTGGTGAATGAAGGGTATTCGCACACAAAGCCATGAAGATATTTGGGTTTGGGGGGTTTCTGAAGCACTGCCGCTGCTAAAAAATTACAATACACATCTATCTGTTGCTGTAGGTAACTGAACAGCTAATCTTGCTGCTAACAAATCTTTTAAGCTTTAATAAGCTTGCCAAGACACCACTTGTATTAGTGCAATATGTAAAAATCCAGAATCACAGTCCATCGTGTTATTATGGGAAAAAAAAGAATATTTGCTGTCTACAAACACAGATGATGGATGCAAGTCATAAAAGATGGAGACTCGTACCAATAATATAATAATAAAAAGCCACAGTCATTTTCACAGGTTTTATAGGTATTTTTTCCCTCAAGAGACATTGTAAGGTGGGAAAAGGATGAGGCAGTGAGTTACTATGAGGACAAATGGGTTTCAGCTGCTGGAGGAACAAGCACAGTGGGGAAACTGGGAGCCCCTCAGGGCAAGGTCATGCAATGCCAAAGAAGAAAGTGAAGCCTGAGCCCAGTTCCGTTGTGATGGGCTGCTCTTCTGAGTGCTGAGGACTCCGTTAGTGCTGGAACAAGGCTCAGATGTTTCACATCACCCAGCTACCTACGTTTCCCCTGCCTTCTCCTTCACATCAGCTCCATCCCTGTGCTCCTGATGCTCCTGCACACCCTTAGCTCAGCCTTCAGCACGCTGCAAGTCCAGCATGCACCGTTCCTCCCACAAGAACACCTCAGCACCTCTGCGTTCAGCTACAGTGCAGGGCGTTTCAGAGCAGCCAAGGCTAGGAAAGGCACGGACAGATAATTTTCTGTATCAGCTGTGTCTTCTTGTGGCACAGCCAACTACTGAAGAACAACCTGGGAAGGCTGCTGTGTTACCTACAGCAGGGAGAAGAGCCTGGAACAACGTGGGAACCCAAAATCTATCAGTACCTGCCGCTGGGCATTTCTGAGCAAGGCCGTGGCACTTGCAGAAAGTCAAGAGTTCCCAGCCTCCAACTCTCTGCTGTGCTTGATAATCTTATAATCACAGAGATGCTGCTGCAGCTCGTCACAGCCCCGCCAGCACGGCCATAAAGCAAGATCACTCAGCTACAACTAATTCCTCAGGAACACTGCTTCAACCTATTAGCTCTCACGAGCACTGGCAAGCCAGGAAAGCCTCCCAGTTAACAGGGCTTGGCTCGCACAAGCACCCCCTTGTGGCGCAGTTTTCCAGAGACAAGCTCACTCGAGGGCTGAAAGCACACATTTATCTTTGTCCTTTCCTGCAGCTTTCAGAGCTCCAGAAGTGAGATGGAAAAAAAAAAAAACAATAAGAGGTAACACACTAAGAAGTGTTACCCACGAACAAGCTTTCATCAAGAATTACCCCAACACACTCCTACTCACATGCACCTAAATGATGTCCGGTCATCAGCTGAAGGATTCCGATTAGACAAGGAACAAAATTGCCTTCCCCCGCTTTAATAATAATAAAAGTATTTATCTAGAGACTGAAGAAGACTGACAAAGTTAGACAGAATCCCTAGTAGTAACCCTTCCAAGCTTCCTAAGTCACAAACCTTTGTCACCATGTTGTCCTAACGGAACGGGCTCAAACTCCAACACAAAGTTGTCTTTCCTAACCAGATCTCAACAAACAGGCTCAAGGGAAGCGAAGCGATTTTGTTTGTATCTCCACGCAACATTTGGAACGAACAATCTCCCTTCCTGGAACAAAAGCCAGAGAAACATCAAAAAGACAGTTCTTGGACTAGGGAAGAGAAGAGAGGGAGGGCTACAGAACCAGAGGGGAGCTCGTAGCAAGCTCTGACATACACTTGAGATAATGATAATAATCAGAGGACACTGGCCTCGAGCAGTGAAGTGCAACAAAAGGGAAATTAATGATTAAGCAACGCAGTTCAATTATTCTTCAAGGGATGTGGTCAGCACTACAGAAAGCTTAAGCTTATTTGCGATTTCACTACCTTGTCAACACCAGGCTTAAAAAAGAAAATAAGAATTGTACCCAGCACCATTCCTGCAGCATATTAAATACACTCATTGGTCCGTTGTCACATTCATTAACGCACAGACTATGACGAGACACAGGAAAGAGAAACGGAGAAGCACTGTATAAAGGCAACTAAGACCACGCTACTTAAAGGCAAGTTGAAGAGCCAGACAAGTAATAACCCAACGCAGATGCAAAGGTGGTGGCGATACTTGTGCTGATTTTATAGCTCATCTGTTTCTGACAGATTTCCACGGGTATTCCATACTTCTGTGGGGTTGAATCAACTGCGTATCTTGATCTGAATACTAAAATGGATCAAAACCAGGCTGGAAGGAGAGAGAAATTCTTCCTTCTAGGGCAAGCAGTCTCACCAGAGGAGCAGCACCTCCATCTGAGAAGTTCCAGGCAACGCATTAATTCTCTCTCACCAAAACCAACTAATTAGATCACCGCACCACCTCTATCACATGGACTGCCCTGGTGTGCTTCACGCCAATAGGAATCCATCTGCGATTGAGATTCTGACAATCGCTGCTCTGGAACAAAACCACAGAGTCCTTCCGCTGGACAAAGAGCGCCTTCACACCGCTGCGAATCAGCTCCTCTTGGTGAATAGGAATATTATCTACAACACCGTCATAAACAGCTTGGCCATCTGATAGCTGCGGCTGCCCATCACCACGATTCTTTCACCAAAGAAAGGCAGGCGTGTACTCTATGAGTCAAGCCCCTGTTCCACAAATGTGCTCGTTTTTGGGACGGCAGCACCAGGCAAGCAGCTCCCTGAGACTGCTTTGTCCAACAGGACCCGCACAACTGCTGCCACGGCGCGTGATTTGCTCCATGGAGCTAGCGCAATGTGCTGTTGATTGCTGGCAACGGGTATCCAAGCATAACCTGCGTTGTTCTAACAATTTTAAGAGCTGCAGATTGAGCATCAGGGGGAGACTCCATTTCCTCTTTGATTCCTTAGCTTTTCAGCAGTGAAAAGCCATCAGGGTTTTCAAAGGCATGCTAAGGACAATTTCCACAAACAAAGTAAATAAAACAGTGAGTAAAATATGTGCTATTGTACAGGGCACGCTCATCATTCACAGTTATTCCAGTAAAACTCAAAAATGCTTTTATTAGTTATCTGAAACTGCCAGGAAACGCTTAACAATGCTGCAGAAAACATGGATCTAGCTTCTGAAGTCAAATCCGGTTTGATAGAGTACCCAGAATCTCACAGCACGGAAAAAAAGCCTACAGCACCTGAAGAACTTCACGTAACTGCTTGAGTAAGTCCCTCAATGGGCAAAGCTTCTGATTTCTAACAGCTCAGAAGTTTTGCAGTATGAAATGGGGAAGTTTTGGGGGTGACCCCTTTGTCATTCCTGCTGCTTTCGCTCTCTCAAGTCCATCCCCACCTCCGTTATTAACGTGAAGGCAACGCACTGACACCAGGCAGGGACAAGAGTACGGAAGGTGGGTAGAAGATGCATTAGGGTGGGCGTGGGGGAAGAGGCGGTGTAGTAAAGCACACGACAGCACCTGCAACAAAGCTTTCAGACCCAAATCCGGCAGCCAGAGTAGTTTGAGAAACAAGGAAAAAAAAAAGGGGGGGGGTTTCTAGATGGAGAGAAGGGAGGAAAGAAGCAGGAGAGGTGTTTAAAAAGCTATTATTCAGTTCAAAGCAGTGGCATACTCTGAACACCTTTGTTCTGCTTCTCACCCAAAATAAGACCTGAGGATCCCTCCAAGCAACTGAGGAGAAGGGGAAGCCAACGCCAGCGCAGGGAGCGTCCTACCTCTGAAAAATCTCCTGCAGGGTTTCCCTAGTGAAGGCGTTGCTGTCCTGGAAGACATTGTTGAGGGCATGGAGGGCACACAGCTCCCTGCGCTGCTTCTCGTGGTAAATATGCGGCGGTGGCGGCGGCTGGGGCGGCTCCGCTGATTCCGACTTGGCCTTGTCACCTTTCCATGGCACGCAACTCATCTTCTCGCGGGGCGGGCGGCGAGCGACGAAGGCGCCTCGAGTCTGTCCACCAAGAGCGAAGCCAGCAGCCCGCTGCCCCGTTACCCCAGCGGCCGGCCCCTTCAGCTCCGCGTTACCCCGCCTTCACACCCCACAGCACCCCCCCCACACCTCCCATACCCCGCTGAGCCCCGGCGCGTCCCCTCCCGCCCCCCCCCGAGGCCCAGCAGCGCCGTTTGTGTGCGACCCCTCACGGGCGGAGCCCTCAGCCCCGGGCGGGCGGCAGCTGGGCACACCGCTCCTTCTCTTCCATCGCCCGCCGCGCCCGCAGCAGGCCCCGGGGGGGGAGCACGGCGGCGGGGCGGGCCGAGGCTCCTCAGGGCGCCGAGAGGGGACCGGGGGGGATCAGGGGGTCGTCGGGGGAGGCTCAGCCGCCGCCCTGCATCGCCCCTCAGGGAGGAGCCGTTAGGGCCGTTACGACCGTTAGGGCCGGCAGCGGGACGGGGGGGACGAAGCCGCCGCTCGGCCCCGGCCTCCCCTCCCCACTGCGCATGCGCGCCGCGCCTCAGGAGCTTGTACAGCCCCCACAGACCCCCGGCGCGCGCCTCCGCTATGCCATTGGTCGGCGCGGCTGTCTGTCACAGAGCTCCTCTTTCTTATTGGTTCCTCCGACAGAGCGCCCGCCCACCGAGGTGGGCGCTGCCCATCTATGGTAGCGCCTTAGCCCCGCCCCCCCACCCGAGCCTTCCCCCTTCGATTGGCTCCGCGCGCTGCCCGTCAGCACTCCCGGCCCTCCCATTGGGCGCACAGCCCCCGACACGTCGCGCGCGCGTCGCGCCGCCGAGGCCACCCCCCCCCTCACCAACCCTCACCAACACCGCCTCTCCCATTGGTCCCCTCCGCCCCGCCCTCACAGCCCCGCCCCCGTTGCCATGGCAACATGCTAATCGCCCCCTCTCCGCGGCCTCCCATTGGCTGCCTCCCCCCGCGGTGGGCGGGGCCAGCGGCGGGCGGAGGGCCGGGGCAGGCAAGATGGCGGCGGCGGAGCGGAGCCGCTCCCCGCTGGGGGGCTCCCCGGTGCCGGCCTGCATCTTCGCCCCAGAGCCCGGCTCCCCGGCCGGGGGGCCCCGCCTGGCGGCCGCCAACGCCGCTCTGCCCCGCTGCGCCTCCTCCTTCGACGCTGAGGACGGGGAGGGGCTCAACGGAGAGCCCGATGTGGACCTGACCAGTAAGGTAGGCCCCGGGGGGGGGCGGCCGCCTCGCCTCAGGGCGCCTCAGGGCCGGGCTGAGGGGGAGGAGGAGGAGGAGGAGGGGGAGGAGGGGGAGGCTCGGCCCCACGGGGGTCCCAGCGGCTTCTCCCGCTCGGTCGGGTCCCCCCGTGCTTCCACCACCCAAATCCATCTGCAGCTCCCTTGTGTTTATCCCTCATCCCTCCTCTATCCGTTTCCATTCCAAAGCTTTGTGTTTCCCTGTCCTTAAAACCGAATAAATTGTGGTGTGTGGACCTTTCTCTCCGAGGGCATGACCCAACGCGGTGCTGTGTTGTCTTACTTTGGCGCTTTACTTCCTTGTCACAACCTGTTGGGCCGCCTGCTCGTGTCTTAATGAGCTGGACGAGGTTTTGATGCAGGACGCCGGTACCCACCTGCGCTTTGTCTTCGGTGCGGGTGATGCAGAAGAGGGCACAGAAGGACGCTGAGGGCTGTCACTGAGCCTGGACAGGCAGGAACCTGAGCACAGCTCTGACAAAGAGAGAAAACAGCCTGTCTCCCCCTGCCTCCATTTGTATTGTCAGCCAGTCTTCCGTTCCTCAAAATCCACAGGCATCGTGGAAGCAATAGGTAAGTATATAAATATTTATTTATTTATTTTACCTTTATTACAATTTACTTTTCTATACAGCAGTTTATATGCGCTGTCTTTTCCCTAAGACTTTGATTCATCCCCATCTTGGATGAGCGCTAAGACCGAGCTCTGCCCCATCTCCCCAGATGAGCCCCCTGCTGTGTGCTCAAAACAGCAGCCCCACGGGCAGCAGCTAAGTTAGTCTCTCCCCTTCCACCCCCCCATTTTGTCCGTCTTCCCAGTTAATTGCTGCTTGCCACTTCCTGCTTAAAACAGTGACTCTCCCTGCTGTCAGTTCGCGTGCTAGCTTTCCGTCCAGGTCTGAGCCACTTCACCACTGTGTTGCAGGCTTTTCCCCCAGTCCTCCTGCTGAGCCCAGCGTGCTCATTATAAGGTGTGCTCTTCTTAGAGAAGAACATTTAGGGTTCTGTTACCAAGCACCTAACACCTTGTCGGTTGATCAAGCGAGCAGTTCCGTTCGTCAGCACAAAAAAACCCTCTCAAACTAGAAAAAAGTTTTTTTATTTTTCCGTTGTTGCGAAAATAAAACAGTAACCGGTTGTTCCTTTTTTTTGCCCTATAGGAATTCTGAAGTTCCTGGACCCGCAGGACTCCTACCGTTAACTGCTCGATGCCTGGCAAAGTTGAAAGAAGGGAAGTGAAAAATTTTGACGCGGTGAAAACCTCTGAAAAACGAGAATACGTAGTCCAAGGAAAAGAAAAAAGCGCAGATGCCAAGATAGAGGGCCTCTCTCTGACAAGGAGTTTGCAAAGAACAGGCTCCAGCTATCCGGGAAGCTAGCTACAGAGATCTTCAACACAGCAAATAAAGTCTTGCAGTGACCGTGGAGAAAGGCTGCAGTGAACTGATCGACTGAAACGTCCCCTGATGCTTGGATCAACGCGTGGCTGAAGCATCCGAAATAGCTGAAAAATGAAGCTGGTGCTGAAACGCGAAGAAACAGAAGTTAGTGGCCTCTACGCTGATGGCCCCTCTGTTATTTTATTGATCTTTATTCATGTAACAGCCTGATTGATAGATGTTCCTGGGACCCCGACCGCTGCCGGTGCGCTGGCCTGAGCAGTGAGCCTGCCTGCTGTGCTTCCAGGAGTTCCTGAAAGAGCTCATGAGGCAAAACGAGCCCTGTGTGTAAACACACAGCCCTCCGTTCTGCCCCGATCCAGCCTCTGATTCTCCTCTCAGTACACGTGCATCCCGTGGTCTCCTCTAAGAGAAGAAAAAAACAAACAAAAACCAGAACAAACGACTGATAAAGGCAAAACTCAATTCATCGCCGCACAAAAGAGGAAGACTACGTGGATTTGCAGATCAGAGCGCTTTGCAAACCGTGCCAGGTAGTTCAAAGCCGTAGGTAGGGCATGCACCTGAGCAGGTACACGAAGGCGGTTGCCTCTCAGCTCCCTGCCCCTCACAGACACGTTCTGAGTGACCATTAATGTTTCAGGAACGCGTTGCTTTGGCTGCCTTAAGCCATCTGATTAGCACTTGCAATCTGTGCTCCGTTTTCCCAGGTGCATGCACTGCTACGGTTTTGAAAGCTGCTTTGGTTAGGGGATTTGGGGTTCTCTTACACTCTAACGAATAAAAAACCTTCAGCACCTACGTAGCAGTAGGTGGCAGAGGTTCCTGCGTGAGTGCACGTTTAGGTTGAGCACAGGTGGGTTTAGGAGAGAATGTTGGACAGGCTTCAGATGGAACCATCGTGAACTGCCGTAAGCCACGTGCTTTAGGAACATTTAGCACCCATTTCAGACTGGCCTGGAGGGAAATGAATCTTCCTGGGGTGATTTTGGAACATGTCTGCCACCCCACCGATGTGGCCGCGCCGTGGAGGCCTCCACACGAATTCTTCTTTGCCAGAAGCGGTGCAACGCGCAAAGATGTTCTGGGAAAAACCCTTCCCAAAGCACTTTCTTATCTTCATTTTCCTTTCTTTCAGTCTGCTTTTTCCTTCTCTTCGTGCCACGGTAGGGAAGGGCGAAAGAAGTTGTGGCTGTTGCAGTAACTGCAGTCAAAGCTCGTTGGGAACGCAGCTGCTGGCTTGCAAAACGTAAATTTTCCAGTGTAAATGAAGTCCGAGCTCGGACAAATAACCTCGTGCAGCATCACGAGGAAATAGTTGTCAGTGAAGCTGGTCTTGAAAAATGCAATACCAGAAAGGGGTCCTTGGGAAAGACCCCTCCTCTTTCAGGAAAGCACGCCGGTTGGTTGGCCCTACAACTGGAGCTGGCTTTGACATCATGTTGGGTGTTTCGTCTCTTTTCCAGCTGGTGATGGTGAGTCCCACTTCAGAGCAGTACGACAGTTTGCTCCGGCAGATGTCAGAGAGGATCGACGAGGGGTGCGGGGAGACCATCTATGTCATTGGGCAGGGATCAGGTGAGTGCAGCCAACTCAGGGAAACAACAAAAAAACAGGAAAATTATATAAGGACAGCGTGGTTCATCTAACGATTACTGCTGAAAGTAATGCTGACTTCTCCAGAATAACTTGGAAACCTCTGTAACAGAACATGTGGGACTTTTTTTTTTTAACCCCACCAGCAACTCTCTTAGGAACGTTTTGTATAAAATCATCCCAGTCTTTTTTTTTTTGGAAATGAGGCATAAGTCGTCTGGGAACAACAGCAGAAGATGAAGGGTATAAATAACGTAATGCCAATTTTAAGAATGACTTCCTCGATGTCTGATGAAGGCCGTGTTGTGTCTCGTTCTGGTCACTTCTCCATTGTAAATAATATTTTCACCCCACGGGGCTATATTGGGGATGCTTCAGATGGCCGAAATACGTGCTGCTGACTTGCCTTGTAAGCATGTGCCGTGGAGAGGAAGGTTTTCCTTCTCTCAGCATGAAGCTTTTTGATGTCACCTTTACCAAGGTGTGACTGCAGTCGTTTATTTGCCTTTGCAGATTTTAGCAGTTGAGCACAGCTTGCCTTTTTGTTCCCGTTCACAAGCGGCGTGTTTGCATCCCGTGCTGATAACAGGCCACTGAGCACGGCCCGGCTTTGAAATTGAGATTTCTTCTCCGACTTCTCATTTCATTTCAGGCCGCCACGTAGTTGAGGGAGGTGGGGATCTTTGCTGGGGATTGAAGCTATTGGAAACAGCATCCAATAGAAAAAAAAATTGTATATATATGTATCTTCCACTTTCTCATTCATTTTGAATGTCTATGATTCTGATCATAATTAAAATGCCGATCAGTTCGTGCAGGCTGCAGTCACTGCTCACCGACTGGTGAGTCAGCCGTGAATATAAATGATTGCACAGCAATGGTGTTGGTCACCCAGGTGCTACGTGTCTCTCCACCTTTCTGCCTTTGTTTGGTTTTGGTTTTTCTCTCTTTTTATCCACAGAGGAGTCTCAGGCCTGAGATCTCTGCATCTTCTGAGCACCTGGCATGCAGGGGAACAGCCACGAGCTCTGGTGGCCTTTCACGTGGCTAGGAAAAAAAAAAAAAAGCCCCCTGGCTTTCTCTGGCTCCCCACTCTTTGCTTGGGTGGGCTGCTCAGAGGCAAGAGTGTCTCCTTGTTTTTCCTGGCCTCGTGCTCGTGTCAGCATTTCTTTCGAGTGCCAGGCTGCAGGCAGCGAGGCAGGCCAAGACCATTGTTTTAACTGGAGCGTGTGGGGGCTAAAGGAATTGCTGCACGGGCCAGATTTGCAGAAAAAGTGGACTTGGGATGTGGTTTTCGTGAACTA